ATTGAATATGTTATTAAAAAAAACTTGACATTTATTTTTTCTAGGTCAAAAGAAAACCAACACAAGGGGACTAATATCCCACAGAGTACCACACTCGCTAAGAAAACTAGAAAAGGAGCCCGAATAGGCGGGTCTACGCCCACTCGACAGCCCTGAACTCTTTTAGAAAAGCCGCTTGAGGGGGGAAAAAAAGGCAAAAAATAAAAAAAGAGAGAGGATAAAAAAGGGGGTATGAAAATTTGAAAATGATAATCGCCAGCGCAAAGAACAGTTAAAATAGTGCTCCTCCCGCGAAAAAGCGGTTTCCCTGAATTAGAAAATTGGTCTCAGGAACCGCAAAGGCAAATGTACGCTTCTATCGCGGGCCTCAATCCTCTTTCTTCTTCTTCTTCTTCTACCTTTCTCACTCACTCATTCACTTTCTTCTCGTCCTATTCTCTCTTGTGGACTCCCTATCTTCTCGCGTCTAAGCTCACTGGCCACTCGGTAATCTGCAATGGTGAAGGAAACGGAGCATTATGATATCCTTGGGGTTAGTGCTTCCGAGGAGGAGATTCGCAAGGCTTATTACCAGAAGGTTTGGATCTGATCTCAACCCCACTGCTTTGATTTTTATTGATACTTTATTTTCCTTCGTGCATCTTAATTTTTCCCCCTAAATTTTTTCAAGTTAGTTTATTAGTGAGTCCCACTTCTCTTCAGTTATTTATTCTGGATGAGATTTAGGTTATCTAGAATCTTTTATCTCCCGAGATGCTACTGCTGCTGCAGGCAATGCTAGTTCATCCAGATAAAAATCCAAATGATCCTCAGGCTGCTGAGAAGTTCCAGGCAAGTCTGCTCTATGTCGTACTGCAGAATTTGATTCGAGTGGAAGTTAGTTTTAGTCTTTTAGAAGTAACTTGGTGAGAAAAGTGATGCTCAATTTTCCCCATAGCCGCACGCATTCTATACCCTGATCACTACTGCGGGACAGGGAGGATGCTACAGTTGAAATGGTTTCTTATTATTATATTTGCATCTCCTCCGGTTTTGGCAGGTTCTTTGTGAAGCTTATCAAGTTATGAGTGATCCATCACAACGAAATGCATACAGTCAAAACGGAAAGCACTCGCTATCTAGGTAAGGATGATGAACAGATTATTTTAAGCTTAATTTCTAGCCTTCTATTTTTGCATTTCATCATAATTTGGTTTAGTAGGATTTATTATGGCAATAATACTCCATTATAGACGTGGTAACGTATTGAAATTCCGATACAGGGAACCTAGAACTTCCTAAAGATTAGAGTATAAATTATTTGGAATGAAGAGAGAAAGCAGCTCTAGATAAATAAAAATGAAAAGATCCATGCAAACTCTTTTATCCTCCTAAACTAGTATTGCTTTTAAAGGTTTTCTCAAAAGATTCATGGGTTTTGTCTGCAGATAAACTATGCTTGACCCCATGGCAGTTTTTGCCCTGCTCTTTGGAATCGAATTATTTGAGGACTACAAAGGACACACAGCTGTGGCGTCGATGGCTTCTTCCGAACTAACTGGTGAAAATAAGGATCCTGATAAATTACATGAAAATTTAAAGGCGAGTTTGTCTTGCAATCAGTATATATATTTGTACATTATGACTACCCTGTCGATGGATTCTTGCCGAAAGGAACTCATATGCCATGGCGATAAGTTGGAATTTAATCATACGTTGAATGTTCTTTCGTTAGGTTTCTGGCACAGAGCACATAAGTACAACTGTTGCAGTTCCCCACTCATTTACTTTGAAGAAAATTCATCTGGGTAATTTGTCTGCCAGAAACTGGCCATTCTTCTTTCCTTTACATTCACGCAAAAAAAAAAAAAAAAAATTCCTTTTAAACGCTTCATGCTTAGAGCATTTAAATTTATCTGAACCACTTCAACCGACAATAATTTGATTTATGCTTATAGAATTATGTAACATCTTGTGTATTGCATACACAATTTAATGTAAGATGATATGGCATTTTCCATGACATATTACTTTTGGTTGCATCTGGAAATGAGTGGACAAAAGTCATCCTCATTTATCTCATGTTTGATTTTCTTCACATTTATGCAGGTTGTTCAAAGAGAAGGCGAAGAAAAACTAGCAAGATTCTTGAAAGAGTTTCTCTGTCAGTATGTCCGTGGTGATAAAAAGGGATTTTTCCAGTGCGCAGAATCTGAAGCTACACGACTCTCTAATGCAGGTTAATCGAAGTTCTAATTCCCACTGCATGCCTTGATAATATTATCTTCAACTAAATACATGCAAATGCTCATCATGATATGGCATAGTTCAATGTACGCTACTAAAATGAAACCTGGCATTGAATCCGATTCTTTAATATCTTTTATCGTGCTGCCTTGAGATTTTAAGCAAAGTTGATCATGACCTTAAGAAATTAAAATCATGTTATTTCTGATCTTCTCATCCTGTAGACCTTGAAAATTTCACGAGAGCACAGTAACGACTATAATTGGGAATTGTTGCCATTGTTGTTTAAATGCAGCTTTTGGAGTTGATGTGTTACATACTATCAGCTATGTATATTCAAGACAGGCGGCGTAAGAACTAGGAAAAATAGCTATTTATCTTGGCGTGCCATTTTTAGCAGAATGGGTTCGGAACAAAGGACATTTTTGGAAATCACAATTCACGGCTACCAAAGGTATACTGACGGGCAATCGCTAGCAATCCCTTCTGTTATTGTTATGGCTGTCCATGCTAGATATTTGTATTTGTATTTTTTTTTTGGCTGTCCATGCTAGATATGCTTAGGATTACTTGCTTACATTTGCAGAATGAAGTCTCTTTCGCATTTAATATTCTAAATGAAGGCTATAATTGCAATTTCAGGAAAAAAATTCAAAAGGAGGTGCAGCCTCAAAGAAGAATATTGTTGCTGATTCTTGTGATGATGAATCACCAAGAGCACTTTCCTATCGAACTCCCTTTTTCACTCAGGCATGTTATAGATCACTTTCCTTCCTTACATTCCCTTTAGCCATTTACTATCATGATTCATGAATCCTCCTTGCATAGAAACATTGATTACGCAAATCTACAAATTCATTTTCCCCATGGTCTACAGGGTATAGGGAGGCTCTTCAAGTGCCTATGTAATCCATCATTTGATGTGGATGATGAAGAGATAGTTTTCAGAAACAAATGATGCATGCTAAACGTCGACGCTGAGGATCATGAAACATGAAAAATAAGCCCTCGTTCAGCATTTTGCTTTTGGAATGATAACTATAGTATAATAAGTCATAACTGTTTGTTGTTTATTACCCTTGTTGAGGGCGGAGTTCGAAGGAACTGTGGTGTTAGCCATATATAATTTGGTGTAATCATTTTACAGCACATCATTTTCATCAAATTGCATGTGCCACAACTTTCGGTCAATAGTCAAACTAATCTTATATATATACGCGCACATATATATTAGTCAACTACCATTTACAGAAGATATAACTATAAGATATAAGTTAAAAGACGATTTTTAGAAAGATATTTTTTGGACATTATTCTGATGAGGTATTAATTACTTTTTTTCATATTACTTTAATTAAAACTCATTAACTATGAAATGGAATGCATTGTAAATTTGAACTTTCATTTAAATAAAGATAACATTGAAAATTTATTCTATTTTTAAATAAGATTAATGATTTAATCACTTCTTTCTTCAAGTGAGATAATTAAAAGTGCATGATGAAAAAATGGTTAGAGATACCTGAGGGACTGAAAGGAGGAGTGCCTGAGGGTGAGGAGTTATTTAATAAAACATGAATTTATTTCTTATTTTCAAAGATGATTTTAAAAACATCGAGAGACTTCATAGCGTCAAACAACCATGTAGGCAGGGGCCACCCTCTAATGCTTTGTGAACGAACAAAAATTCAACGACATATGAACGTGGAGAAACTCATATTCGAGTCTTGAGAGAAGCCTAGAGAGTGGAAAGACACAAAATAATGGCCCTTAATTTAGACACGTGGTACGTTCAAGTCCAAGATTCGACATGTCAGATTTTAATCTCTAATAAGCGTAGCAGTCATGTTCTATTCAGCCACCCAGCCTCCGATCTCCCCATCCAAATACCCAGGAGGTCACAATCACTTGTGTTCCATAATACATTCCAGCTCAGAAGAACTTTAGGATTACACTCTGTTGCTGATTAAATAGGTAATCTTATTCTTATTCCCCTTTACCATTTCAAGTCCTTCTCACTCTGTCTTTCACATCAAGAAATAAGCGAATCCATGACGCCAAAAAGATCACTTCAAGAACTGCATTAACAGTTTTTTTTTTTGGCAGGGGGGGCCGCGCTACCTTACCTGTAAAGCAGATAGAAATTCAATGTTATTAAAACTGGACCGGACTAAACGATCTATCGGTTCAACCATCACCCGCTGAAGAAAACGGTCCGATTTAACCAATTGAACCAATCTAGCATTTGACTCGGGTTGAATCGACCGGTTTTGAGAAAACCGGCTTTGACTCAGGAACCGAACCTGGGTCAACTCGATTCAAAGCCAAAAAAATTTAAGCTAAATTGTTTAGATTCACAATTTCTCTTATCTAATTACTAATGCTCTCTTTTCTTCTCTTCTCTAATATTTAATCTCTCCTTCATGGCCCAAACTCAATCTCTAACTTTTCCTCCAACATCTGCCTCCAGCTCTAAATATCTAACTTTTAACATTGAGATCGAAAGCTTGTGAGTCATGACATGACAATATACCTCCAGCTCCAACATTTTCCTTTGAGATCACAAACTTGTACTAACATGCCTCTACCTCTAACTTCAATGATTCAAATATCTAACTTTTGAAATTGAGATTCCAAGCACCATTAACAAATTAATATTTTATTTATATAATTGCATATATAAATTTTATTTTTTATTTAATTTTTATGCCATCAGTTCTACCGCCGATCTAATCAGTTAAACCGTGAAAACCGCGACCCGTTACTCTTTCCGATTCAATATCCAATCCGAATTTTAAAACATTACAGAAATCTATCGTTGGTATAACAGGTCAAGCTCAAACCACATCTCAAACCAATTTGGAACAATCCAGTGCTTGCATCCAAAACGTCAGACGCTTTACATGATATTTTGGAGACTAAAACTACGCAGCGCAGACACAAGTTTAGGTGGTTCTACATAGTCTGCCAGTTCCAACAAGAAGCGGCTGCTAATTTGCAGCCCAAGTCTCGTGTTTCCATAAAGTTCCACACAAATATATACAAAGGGGGCAATGTTCACTTCTCTGAGCCCTCGAAGGGCACTTCCTTGAATGTTCAATTATAACCCCCAGAGCTCTGCTCAATGAGCTTGATATGGGAGAGAGGCGACCGCTCGATGTGAGTGCACAGCACAAGCACAGTGCACAGAAGTCAGGTTCAAGCAGCCACTCATGATGAGTGAATGCCTGCCGGAGCAGGTGTGCAATGCCGGGAACGAGTCACACACGGCTTGAACAGCAGAGGGTGTGAGTGCTGTGCATTGGCTAATGTTGAGAGTTCTTAGCCCATCCTCTTCAGTAATTCCTTTCACAGATCCCCACATCCTGTTATTCACTTTGCTATGGGCCAATGAATACATTGCTCTGTCTGTGATATTTTGACAGTAGTACAGCCCAAGGGATCTCAGATGGGGACACCCATTTGCCAAAGCAATCACACTCTCATCTGCAATAACAATATCTCAAAGTCAATATTGTACATCCTCATTCACTGAAACTGCATGCATGCATAAAGCCACTGCCTACAGCGGTAATCACGATGATATAGAAATTAAGGGTTTGGGCACTACATATTTTCCAACTTATTTACCAAACTCCTAAAATTCAGGTGGTAGAAACCGCTCACCATAATTGTTTTTTAATAAAAATAGAAAGGCAGGAAAACTCGAAACTAAAACAACACTAAGCGGATGACAGTTCGTTCTCCCCTATCCCATCTGAAACAAAAAGATCACGACAGACTAAGGGAGGTTCTGACGGTAGAATGAGACCTTGAGCATCGTCATGGGCACTTTTGGCTAATGCATCCACACATTTATGTGCTTGCTGTATTTATTCTACTTGGGGATGAGATATTCCAGCTTGTCTCATGACTGGGTTCCCCGCTCACTACAATCTAGATATTCTCATTTCTGACAACATAATTCCAATTTCTCCGTCACACTATGAATTCACCCGTTTGGGAATAAGGAAACACAAAGCTTAAAGAGTAAATTGCTAAGAGACAGGGGAAGGCGCATCCAGGAATCCTATGCCTTCGACTATCACAAAAGCAAAATATGTAGGCCATATTGGCTTCGGTGATAATTCATCTGATAAAATTTAGAGATTTTTTTTACCTGTTATACGGACACACCCACACAAGTCAAGTGTTCTAAGATCAGGGCAACCAGCTGCTAAACTTGTCACTCCATCATCACCAACATTTTCACACCATCCAAGGTTCAAAGATTGTAATAGGTTGCAGTAACGTCCTAAAGCCTGCATTTTATGTACATCAAATGGTATCAAGTAACAATCTTGGTTTTAAATAGTAAAACGGTAATGATAAGAAGCTGGTATCTTACTTATACCTGTAATGCAGGGTCTGATGCTGCTTGAACACATCCACAAAGATTTAAACACTTCAATTTCCTGCAGAGACTGGCTAGGTAAGCCAGAGCCACATCATTAAATGCTGAGCACCCACTTATATTTAGATTTGTAAGATCACGGCATCCATGGGCTAAGGCATACAGAGAGCGATCAGTAAGCTTGAAACTTTTGCTGAGGTCTAGCATCTGCAGGTCGTGACAGCAATTTGAGATAGTCTCAACTGCATTATCCTCTAGTTGAGGTTTGTCTTGGCGAAGGACTAAAATTTGCAATTTTGTAAATTTAGGCACAAGCGATAAGACCAAGTTATTCATGTTCTTGCTACACCTGAAGAGAGAGGAGTTAAACAATCCTGTTATTATGATGGAACTCATCTTACGAACTGAAATATTTGGGGAAAAAGATTTTTCAAATAATATCAATACATGGACATAACTTACAACACGTCGTGTAACTAGATAATAAAACTTCTGAAAAACCAATGCTTGTGAAGATTATTACGAGGGAGGGCGAGTACACTCAAGGGAGAAAAGAAAGGAACTAGAAACGACTAACAATACATTAAGTCTCAACAAAGGGAGCACTCGTATGATATAGAACCCAAAAAAGATCAACCAAGATCTACAAGAAACAAAAGAATTTTAATGAACTCTAAATTCATGTTATAATGTCAACAGGTCCAATTTGGATACTTATTGCAGAGATGAGATCAAACAGATTAAAGTTTTTAATTTTATAGTTTCTTTAACTGATAAATTCATTTTTTGACATAGTCACGGTTAAAATGTAATCTTAATTTCAGTCCCAGCATCTTGTAAAATAAAAAACTATAAAGAAATATATAAAATAAAGCGCAACATAAAATTGGGACTACACCAAGGTGCAGAGTCTGACAGGCCTACTGATTGCTAGGAAACTTAGATTTCTCATAACCCCCCACCCCCCCCCCCCCCCGGGGCGGTTAATAGCTTAACAGTTCAGTATGATCCGTCAGAAAGAAGTTGAGACTAAAGCACACTAATTTGAGCAGGATTGGGAGGGGAAATGACAATATACCATGAGAGTGATAAACGGGAAAGGGCGAAGCATATAGCATCTCTCCATCCACGGCAGACTCCTGAAGCTGCGATCACCGTCCGATTATCAGCAAGGGCCAGAATCTGCATCAAAAGCTCCACCGGAATATCCTTCCACTCGGTGATCACCCCGGCTTCCATTTTCGCTCTACTGTTTCCCCTGTTACCACCGCCTGCAACCATCATAAGTTGCTCAAAGCATAAGTTCAAGTCCTCCGTCATCAAGTTCTCCTTGCCAATCATTTCACTTTCAGCTCAACCGCCCTTCACCAAGCAGATAAGTTTTTCAGCCTCTCGTTTCGATACCCAAATTGAGTATAAGAGATATCATGGAAATTATATATGATATATATATGAAGGAATAACAAAATTTTCAGCCTTTGGTTTCTAGAAAAGAAACAGCTGTAGCAAAACGATATAAACCACAAACCGAGAGAGTCCACGGCCCCCGGCAATAAGCAATTAGGCACAGAAAGCAACCGAAAGATAATTTTTCTTTTATAAGGATCCTATAGCATTAGGATAATTCCGCGCATTACATAAATAGCCATCTCACAATTTTGAATTACCAGATAACGTGTTTGCAAAGCATAAAACTTGACACGAGTTATTGAGCTGTAGGTTAAAAATAAGCCAAGAAAAAACAGAGAATACGGAAAGCCTCCCACACAGAAAACCCCTCCGTGAATTTAAACTTAAGACTAAATCGAGCAATCGATCAGTCAAGGAACTCTGGTGGTAAGAGGAGATGATAAGCGATCACAGCGTGCTTAAAAAATAAAATCAGTTTTGAATCATAAACATGACACCGGAAGAAAGGGAGCAAAAAATCGGGAATCGAAAACTAAATAATCGAAAGAATATATGCCTCAGCAGTTAACAATCAACACAGGGAGAACACTTCGGGAGCAAATAGTGAGAGAGAAAGCAAGATATTAAAGGTGAGTTCATTACCGCAGTAGCCAGACAAGAGAAACAAGGACAATATCTTCCCCTCTTCTGCAAATATCCACAACAGCTCGATTGCTTGCAAAGGCTAAAACCATGAACGAGCAAACTGAAAAAGGAAAGGGCGAGGGAGAAGGCCTAAATATGTAGAGCTGGAACGCTTGGGATGGGGAGGGGAGCAGAGGAGAAGGGCAGGGCACCCTGAGGGAGAAAGGGTAAACGACGCGTACGAGGCCACATGTCCAGTGATGCAGCGGTTACGTGGGTCCCAACTGACGAAACTCCAAAGGGCTAAATAATTTGTATAATGACTAGTCAGGAATAAGTCCCTTCTTCTTTCTCTTTATAAAAAAGCCTTGCAAGGGCATTTTCTTTGACTTGGAAATGACAAATATGTATATAATTTGGGTTGTTAAAAAAAAAAAAGAATTCAGCCAGAAAAATGAGTGATGGGGGGAGCTTCACTGGCTGTACGTCAGAAGTTTAGGAAGTGTGTGGAAGAACAAAAGGAGAGAGAACAGAAAATGGAGGGATGGGAGGGATGGTTAGCGAATAAAGGTGATGACGAGAGATTTGTGTAGAAGTTTCTATTGTGTAGATCCGAAACCGCACCTAAAAGCAATTATGGATGGATCGCCAATGATTAATCGTTGTAATATTCTATGTTCGCGAGATATCATATGCTTGAAAATAAGATAATAATGTAACATATAATAATATAATTTTCTTGTATTCTCTCTTCCTCCGTTTTATTTTATAAAATATTTTTAAAGTAACATTACAAACATCATTACGATTAATTAAATGCAACTTGAAATCTTAATATTTTCATAAAAAATATGATTTAAAAAATATTTTTTATTTAATAGATGAAAGAAAATGAAAGATATCTAAAGAGTCCAATACTGAAGAGTAATTTTAAAATATTTTAATAACGGATCATTAGTTTTTTCAAAATATTTTGTATTGTAGTACATCAAATCATCCAATCCAAAATAGTAGATGTTATTAGAGGTTGTAAGCAGTGCTTCTCAAGTATTTTTTTTTTCAGGTAATTAATGCAAATAATTGAGTAAAAAATTAAATCCGTGACTAATCCATTTTCTTAGCTAAAGAATAAATTGCAAAACAAATAATGAAAGAGAGTCACTCACACGTGTCACAATCAAGCATGGGACGCGAGTCATGGCTAGGTGTCATTATTCGTGTGATAAATATTTGTCTCTACTGTGTTTTTTTTTTTTTTTACCAAAGATTTGTCTCTACTGTATTGGAAAACTAATTTCTTTGATATATAGATGTGACCTCGACGGCTAGACATAATTGCATGCCAAATTGAATTATTTACTACTCCCTCCATCTCATATAGAAATTCATTTTATTTAAAAATATAAAGGTGGAGGCATTAATATAAAGGGAGTGAGGGGGTAAGATTGAGACGAGCTTGCAAAGGCCTGTCAAGCTAATCTATTTCATGATAATTTCTTATTTTGTGTTATTATTAACATATTTTTTGTTATATTTTGGAGTCATCAATGAAAAAGATTTTTTTTTACTTTTATAAAAAAATTAATTAAGTACCTCATGTAGATTTATTGTAATATTTTTTAAAAAATTATTTGAAACGATAAAAATTGAAGTAAGCAAAAATCTTATTCATATTTATTAATTGTGAATAGGTAGGGCATGATAATATTAAAGTAAGAAAAAAAAAGAGACAAAAAAAGTGCTTTTCAGTCCAAGACACAAAAGTAAAAATTCTTGTGTAAGAATTTTTAAAATTGTTCATTAGTGCCATGACGCCACTGAAGGAGTGCCATGGCCCTAGACAAAAACACATAGTTTCATTTTTTTTATAAAATTAACCTACAAAACTTATTTTTCTAGACTAGAGGAGGCATCTTTTAACTGCTGCAATTTGAGAAAACCTTAGGAGAGTAAGGAGAAGTCTTGAAATTTGGGATAAAAAAAAAGTAAAGCAAATCTTCATTCTACCTCATTTTTTCAATGTTTTCTCTTATTCTTTTCCTCTATGTTGATAGTTTCAAATCATTTTTATGTTGTTTTTGCATTCATATCAGCTATGTGTAGCTAAATCATTTTATTCTAGAAGACTATGAACCTATTTGTATAAATAACCTTAGATTTACCACTTAGTTGTTTAGAAATGAAGCTTTGATTACTTATTCTTGAGCTATATTATTCTTGTTTAATGACTGGCCACCACTAGGTGAGATTTGTGCATTTAGGTTAAACCTTAAAAGGAAAAACTCAAATTGGATCTTGAGAACTAGTAACTTAGGATTAATTTAGTTAATTTGTCATTAGAACATGAATGTATCTAATGGACCTTAGTAATTCTTATGGGCTGAGGTCTCTAATGCAATTAATTAATTAAAATAATATTTTGCTTTAATTAAATTAATTAGGGTCCTTAGTAGTCAAAATATACTTTAAATTAATTTATATTCTCGAAATATTAAAACTAAGTTTCAAGACAATTAATGCGATAATAAGAGGGTTAGAAAATAAATAGGAGATTAGGACTCTAGAACACTCTTTTCTAAGTTGATTTTAGTTGTTTGTGAATTGAAAATTATTTTAATTAATCATTTTTTATATTTTTATTTTAATTGTTCTAAAATCAATCTCAAGTTTTATGAGCTTAAAATGAATGAATTTAGAAATTTAATGCTTAGCTACAATTTTAATTAATTTCTTAAGAAATCAACCTTGATTTATGACTAGATTGAATTGTGACTCATACACTTGCAATTACTCTTAATTTTTGTGGGCATCATTTCACTTGTTGATTTCCCACTATCAAAATTTAGAAATTAAATTAATGCCAACCATTATCCATGTTTTCTTCTGCTACCTCACGCATTCATTAGATGAAATGAACCTTAAAGGCAATCTTTTGTAAGAATTGAGTTTATTATTTATAAATTACAAATAAAAAATTTGAAATGTTTAGATATTATTATACTACTCCCTTCATCCTAATTATACGACATTTTTTTAAGATGATTTGATGCTTCATAACATAGAATACCTTGACAAAAATGAATTTATTAATTATACTTATTCTAATTTCTAACACTGCTCTTCCATCCTTGTTATTTTATCTCCCTATTTAATGTCTCACAAATAATGTTTGAAAGATATTTTTAAAGATTTATACATGTATTTTGAAAAATTCTAAAATTTATTTGATAAATTTTATTTGTGTAAATAATTTTTGTCTAAATATATCTTATAAACTGAAGCTGACAAGGCATAATAGTAAACACTAAAACTGAATTCGTATTCATTACTGTAATAAGCATTGAAACTGACATCTGTTTGCACCGCGTCACGCACTTACTAATCGGGAAGAGGACACAATAATACGGGTAATTAACGAGGGGCTCAAAGAAGTCCTATACATAAACTCCTACATGCACTATGTATGATAACCTCTCGTCAATGTCTATTCAGTGTTCCCCAGGCCCTTAGGTTTTAACTCCCTGCTTCAATTAGCCAGCAAGTGGGATGCGAATTTGGCACTTGTTGTGTCCTATCAATATTAATTGTTTGGAGAATCTTCCGGACAAATCCAGAACACAACAAAACAAAATATGTATTCCTCCAATCTTTTTTATAAATCATTTTTATCAATCTTATTAATCACAACGCCAAAAAAGTGCAAAAGATAAAAGTGTGCAGAATTTTAAATATACACTTATATAATAAATTTAAAAAATAATGTCATGTTATTTTTTTTCATGTATGATAATTTTAAAAATAATTTTTAAAGATTACCTAAAAAATTGCACTGTGAGTTTGTAACTTATAAATGAAATTAAATATATTTTTAAAAAGTGATTTATAAATAAGATTGGAAGGTGTGTGCATGTCTATATACATACATTGCTGTGTCCATCCCTCCTCCTCCTGCCATCCTTCCAGCTCAGACTTTTTAACCTTTTCTGTTTATAAAATTCGTAGTTTTCCCAAATAGCCAAATATCAAATATGCAGCTTTGTCAACGTGGAGGCTGCAGAAGTAAAGATGATGCAAAAGCAAAAAGAAGAGGTAAGTTTAGGTTTCGAAGAACGAAGGTCTCAAAATTTTGGACTCTTAAAATAGTTTTTCAGAACTATCATCATTCAGAACAAGTTTTGACAAGTGAAGCTTTCGTGTCAATTTGTGTGCAAGTTGACAAGAAGCAAGTAGGACGAAATGTGAGTGTGGCAGAGCCCATTATTAATCAAAATAATACACAAAAAGATCGCCTTCAAATCAACTTTATAGCAAATGATCTGGTAGAAACCAAGCATGGCAAAGATTCTAAAAAGCTAGATGCAACAAGCTTCATGGGTAATCAAAGGGTCATTCATAACCTCAATTTAGGAGCCAAGATAAACACATGAGCAACAAAGAGACCAACACTTCAGATGGCCACATCTCAAATTAGTGCTTATTAGACTTGCTATATACATGCAACTGTCACGTTTTTCAACGCCCTCCTTTTAGGTATGTAGATTTCTTAATCACTAATTTAACGTAATTTTTTTTCTTTAACATCATGGTATTGTATTAAAGAATAATAGGAAAAAAGAAAGAAAAGGATGTATTTTCAACTTTTCTTCCGGCCTGGGAACTAAATATTTGATATGCAAGATTTCTTGCGCTGTGGGACTAATTGGGAAGGGGGGGGGGGGGAGGACATCCGGTTTTATATCAAATTCATTTGCTTGGTATTTCCGCCCGTTAACTGTCTTCACTTGCGTTCAAATCAGTATCATCCGGTTGTGACCTCAAACGTGTTCGATTGCACATTTTCTTTAGTCTTTGCTATTGTCTGCAAAAATCCCTTAATTGAAGGAACTTCCTAAGTCTCTAATCTACAGTGTCATCGCCTTCGATTCACCAATGCACTTTTTATGTGCTTAATTTTGCTTATTATGACAGTTCTTCCGGTTCTTGTAATGCCGGACGGTATAATTTGTTCGTCTGTTGCATGTTCTACGTGGTGGAAAGGCAAGACACGAGTACACTGTACACGTCATGTTTTAATATTTGTTCGTGTTATTTTTCTCGGCTATCTTTCCATTGATGCACCAGATGTTAAAACAAGGGTCTAGGAGACATACGAAGAAACAGTAATGGATGAAAGGTGGGCAAGGTTTGGAGGACGGTTTAAGTTACAAAGCAAAGGTGAAAGGTCTGATAGAAAGTGCCAAAGGACAGCACATCAGCTTTATTCTTATTTACATAATGACGTGCCTTCTTCCCAAAAAATTCTTCAAGACAAGAATCTTTCCAGCAAGTTCCCAAAGAAGAATCCTGTTTTGGCCCATCCTCGGGTCTCGGGAGTCTCGGCATCGGTTGCTACTCTCTTCACCTTGACCATCATTGTCTGCCCAATCTCTTTGCGAAGTGCTTCAACAATCTTCATGTCCACTGGATTTCCAGAAGCATCTCTCACGTAGAACACATTCAGTGCTTGCTCTCCGATGGTAGATACAGCTGCCCTACAAACTGTCAAGCCATTCTCTCGGAGAATCCTAGTCACTTCAGATAGTAACCCCACTCTATCCTTTGCACACAGCTCAAGGCTCACACCCTGCGTCCACGACCATAAATCACAGAATCAATGCCAAAATCTTGCGTTTCTTAAGAATCAAATGAAGTGGACTTTAATCTGCTGAGCCAGCATATGATATGACTGATAATCAACTGATCAATTTATTACTTGCAAATAACAGAAGAAGCTTTCCTCCTCCTGCATTTTTTCATTTGAAGGTTATAGGGATGTGGATGATATTACATGGAGCATATAGATTCTTAAGCTCTATTGAAGGCAAAAGACCACTGCCACTGATTAGTGGATATGATGGTCAGATACAATCTGAGTGGAATCTAGCCCCATGTATCTGTCGTACCATTGCAACAATACAAGTAGATAGCTGCAGATCCAAAACGCATCAAATTCGGTTAAACTCAGAAAGCTTTCTGCTGTAAGTAGAAGACAAGAAATCATCCCTAAGGAAGATATAGGAAAAGAAAATGGACGGGGGAATAAAGATGGAGTCAGAAGAAAGTCTTGGGACCCGGGGGAAATTCATGCCAAGGGGGTAACAGAAATCAGTAGCTTAGACAGTTTAAGAAATTGATGATCATTAGTGAATGCATAAGAAAGCCAAGTTCCTTAGTAAAGCATGGTGAGACTTACTCGAGAGCTCGTTTCATCCCGAGGACTCGTTTTTTATTTTCTTTTTTCGAAAGGGTCACAGAAGAACTTAGAAATCAATTTTAAACACAATACCTCGCTTACTCTTCTCTGAATAGCAGCTTCAATGCATTTAATAACCCTCTCTTTCTCTGCTTCAGTATCAAGCGTACATCCATCCATGTGCCGAATGAAGTACTCCTAATACACACACAGTTCAGGCTTCAGACAGCACTACTAAAAAGAAAAAATCTCGTGTTCTATCACACCTTAAATGACGCTTTGCATTTAACGTGGCATAAGGATCAGGTGAATGAAGCAAATTAAAATAATAATTCAATTGAGAAAACCAGATGTGGACTCGAGTTAAGAAATTAAGTAGCTTTCAAGGATCAAGACATTAGTTTTAAGATCAAAGAAAAATAATTTATGTTCTTACTTAGGCCTGTTGACGTTTGAAGGGGTAAATCCTCTAGAGACAATTTAAATTTCCTCTGCTTTTCGGAAAATTTTCAAAACAGAAACAAATTCTGTTGGCAAAGTGTGCCAATGCGTAAGGAGTAAACTTACAGAATGGAGTTCTGCAAATAAGACAATGTGGTATACCTGGGATGCATGAGGGCCATCCGATGAGATTGTGGCATGGAAAACAACATATTGCATGTCAGTAAGAGTGCAAACAATGTCAAACATCAGTTTTGCCCGATCCTTACAGCTGACACTAACCACTGAATACCCTTTTTCCTCACAACGTTCTATTGATATTTTTGGCCTAAAACAAGGTGGATAATCCACGTCGGCCATTACTCCAGTACATTCATAGTCCCGATCAGCAAACAACATTTGGTGGAGTCTTCTATCCATATGGGTGAAACCCATAGAGAAACTGGTGCGAGCCACTTTCTCATCATTCTCACATCCACGTAAAATGTTTTTGAGCTGCTCCTCCATAAGAGATAATTTGTTTGGGTTATCAACAGCCCCGGTGGCAGCATCATTGACATAAAGAACACATGCTATGCGTCTATTATGAGTCCAAACTTCAGCCGCAATCACATTAAATTGGAGATTGGCAAGGACAGCTGAGATCTCAGACAAAAGACCAGGGCGATCTCTGCCTATGAGCTCAATAGCTGTGTGATCACCAATGGAGTGTACCCCAATCCGTTTGGCAGGCCAACTCTTTGCCCCATCTGTGCTCTGACCCTTGGGTCCTAGAGCCTATTATATTGGGCAAAAAAAGAAGTTCAATAGCTCTAAGTATTTGATAGGTGCAGTTTTAGCTCAATAGATGCCATTCTCTCTAACGAAAGGAATGCTATAATTTCTCACACAAAACTTTCTATTGTTTCAGCATTTTAAAAAATCGATAATGGAACTTGGCAGTAAAAGAGATACGATGCCTGATACCAGTAAGAATATCAGATATAGAGGAGAAAGAAGAATTATACCTTTTCTATGAAGTCAATGGTTTTGATGTCGGTAATCTTCTTTCCTTGCTGATCCGTCACATGAAAAACTGTATATTCCATTGATTGAACATCTTAAGTAAGGCGAGGGGTGCTCAGGCACACATCGACATGCACATAGTTGGATATTTAATGCGAGTGTGGGTGTGGGGTTTTAGTGCATGCGTGTGTGCTTGTGTGTATATGAAAATGTAGATATGGGCATGGCTTGGCTGTAAACTCACGTCAAATTCATGTATTTGTCTTGATGACAATTGCTAAGTACAAGTAGCTAAAAGTGCGCTTTACGTTCTCTATTTACTCGTCCTATGAGTAGTGAATATTGCATTATTTGTCACGGAGATGCAGAAGCAAACACAGAAAATACTTCATGGAAAACATCAAATTAGTCAATCAATATATCACAATGATGAATATAAAGCTGATAACAACCAATGTTATGGCTGATAGTTTACAGCTTTCAATGCGGACTATGACATGAATGGATAAAATATATTCATATATTCATTGTCAAAGCATTACAAAATTTCATTTTAGTTTAGAAACGTACCATCCATAAACCATCCACCATCTGAAGATATGTAAGCTTTGGTGATTATAAAGTCAAGGTCTGTTAGAATTTGCACCAGTTCCAGAAGAATTCCAGGTTTGTTAACGCTATCAACCTGCAATTTTTTGAAATGATAATCCATTAACAAATTAGAATAATATCACACCATCTGCATATTTCATCTCAAGATATTTAAATTAGTGAGCTTTATCAAGAAATGAGGAAGATGTGAGCCATGGTGATGTCAACCACGGAGGAGGGTATCAATGTATAACTTTGTTTCTCCTCTTCCCAGTCTATAGAGAACCTTACTCATAGACCTACTTCTATTGTTATTTTTTACTTTTGATAGGCATGGACCTACTTCTTTACTTGAGCCTTATTCATAGAGAAGGGAAGATGCCATAGCTAAGGAGCAGTTTACGCAAAAACACCAAGGCAATAAGGATTCTCATATCACAATAAATTTGGCCGAATCTTTTCCTTAGGCAATAGAATTCACTGAGGGTAGGTAAAATCTCATTTTTCATGTAAGATTAAATTAAATTCGGTATAAATGGGGAAAAAATTTTAGTGTTCAAGTAACTTCTGTAACTAAAGATCCTATGTTTGCTAAAAAGTCCGGCAGCCAGATGATGACTGACAATGGGGCCGTGAAAATTCATAACTATTATTTTGAGAAATTATACCTTGATCAGTGTACAATCATGGCAACTAGCATTATCCACAGAGACCCTGCGAAGTGCAAACAGAGTTTACCATCAACAAGTTACTTCTATTTGGGTTTTGAAAATTCCCAATATAAACCCAAATTCCTCATCAAGGTGCTTAATCCCTGACTCTTTAAGAATTGAGTGAGTCGGTGAATGATCACTTCCTTATAGTTGTGGGTTTTGGGTCTAGGGTTCTAATTGAATTAAAGCAAACTAACATTGTCAAATATATTTAGTTAATATTCATGAATTTTGATGCTAACGATTGCTTCAAGGCATACTAAAGCTACGTACGATTTATGGCCCCTTTCCTTTAATGCTTCATCCTGAAGAGGCCTTTTTAATTTGCCGCTCATAGAATAAAATAGCACATAAGAGGAAGTAACAACAAACCTTGGAGGATTGATTCTGTTGCTGAAGTTCTCATACTCAGGATCAAAATATGGCCAACAAACTGTCGCCATTTGAAGTTCAATATCTGCAGTCAACAAGTTGCCTTAATTTACCTGCACCAAGTAGAAAACTCTCGTCTGGTTAGCAATCATTACGATTTCGTACTAAAGTACTGGGATGTTCAAATACTATAGCTTATCCAAACCTAGCAGCTCCTACTAAGAATAAGTGTTGCTACCTGCTTTGCAGTTGTTTTACTCCAGATAAAAGAGTTCACGCCACAACGATATCGATGTATGCAAAGACGAAGCGAACAGTTAGACAATACAAAGGATCTTGATCCAAATGTTACTTTTTCATTTGGTTCTTTTGGTCCAAGGTTTTAAAATCATTTTAGCAGACAAAATTGCTGCACTAGACCATGGTAGAGACTACAGATTATCAACAGAGAAGACAAAAACAAACAAGTAAACTAATGTTTCACTGATCCCGTCAGTTGATATATCATAACACGGTATGATTTTAGTGACTATTTCTATTTTCAATTTTTTTTTTTTTGGTTGTTGTGGGTGTCAATCATTCAAGTGGCCAATGCTTAAGCTTAAAGCACTAGTCAAATTATGGTGCCAATGCAGAATCTGCTTCCTCTCTGGACCACTGACCGAGATTTTAAGAATAAGGTATATTGAACGCGCCGTGTCCAGTCGATTAGGAAATACGGAGAGAGAGAGAGAGAGAGAGAGAGAGAGAGAGAATAAAGATTAAAGAATGCCCAAAGAATCACGGCATAATCGATGAAAGGAGACGTTTTCGGTGTAAAATTCAAAGGGATACGCAAAACCCATTAGAACCTTAGAACAAATGAAAACTTTTTCCCATCGAACGGTTTTATTTATCTGGGTACGTGGGTGCTAGCCGTATCTTCTATGCGTCTAGATCTAAATATTGGATCATTTCATGATGATATCATCATATATCAAATGGATATTTTTACTAGAAGAATAACATTTAAAGTTCTCTCAGAAAAAAAATTATTATAATACGAATCTATTACCTTTTATATTAAATATTATCTCGTGAAAACATATGTGTATACACTGTTGTTGAGTATTGCAATTTTTTTTTAGAAGGTCTTAAATGTCGTTTTCCCTCTCTCTCTATATTATTTCTACCCAGTCAATTCCATGGAGGCAGCAAGATTCGAACAAACACGAGTTGTATTCAGTAGTTACTAATTGCATTAATATATTTTTAGCAACTGAACCTACATGAGTTTTTGGGGAGAAAAAAAAATTTAAAGAACACTGTTAAATAATATGTGGCCGGTGGTCTCGTGCAGTTGGACCAAAAAAGCAGGGACGACAATAGAACTTCCCTGCTCACTGGTAAAAAAGCAGCAAACACTCAACGCGCGCCGCAAGAATCTCCAACAACCCAAAAAAAAGAAAAAGAAACCAAAAAAGACCTGAGTGTGCCGTGAATCATCATGATATCAAATTCAAACAGAACACTCATTTTCTTTCACTTTCCTTCCGTGGTTTTCTTTTTTTATCTTCATACAACTTTCCGTGGTTGTCTTCTGTTCTGTTTTTTAGATTTTTCAGAAGATCATGTCTTCGTGTCTTTAACCATTACACAAAGGCACTTCCATGTGACCAACGGCTTCGGTTAAAAAAAAAAAAAAATCATCAACAACAATCATAAAGATCTGGTAAAATAGCAATACTTGCTCAGGCAAAACAAAATCTCTAAAATATTTAAAAAAAAAAAGATTTTAGGCCGTTTTCCTTGTTGTGGGAAAATAACAACGAAAAAGAAGATAAAGAAACATTTCACGATCATCAACATTTGGGAATAAAATTGGAAATGGAATTGTAGAATGATGATAGCTACAAACCCATAGTGGTGATGAGGATAGTTAGCTAGCTCACTAATTTTGTGCATAAAATGATAATGACGGTGGTTAACTGGGAAGACAATAGCAGCAGTAGATAACTAGATATTGTAAACAGAAAATATGAGAGATGTATGGGCGAGGTGCTCTTAGTTTGCCCAAAAGAAGGAGCTTTTATGTATTAACACTGAATAAAAAAAATAACGGTCTTTGCTCAGGCAGTTAGGCTTAAAAATAAAAATAAAAAAATAAAAAAAAACAACGTCAACGATAACGGCTCTTTGCTTAGTTCATTTGATATTTTTTAACTGAGGTGTCATTTCCTCGTATTTGTGAGCTAAAATTAGAGCGGACAATTCATTCAAGTTTGAGCCCGTCCAAAAAATTAAAATAGATTTAACTATGTAAGTTTTTTAAAACAATATGCCTTAAGCTGGCCTCAATAAATTCAATTGTTAAAATCTTTATCTATATATAAAGAGTTGATAATTTTGTCCAAATCTAACGGACCAACCTTAACTTGCTGAAAAAATTATGACTAAACTTGATTATATGAATTTTTTTAAAAGGGTAGAATATTTTAAATCTTATCCCAAATAAATTCAATTCGAATTGAGCCTGATCTAAATTACCGGCTCTAACTAAAATCTCAAATGAATTCAAGTAAACATGATTTGTTAAAAAACCTATTCGAATTATTAAATACTCGTTGAAGGATAAAAATTTCATTTCAAGATCAAGAAAATGACCACATATACAAGGTGATTGCTGAGAGTGAATTTTTGCAAAAAATTATAAGATTTAAAGGCACATATTAAATAATTCTAAAATTTTCTAATAAAAAATAAATTAAAATTTTATTATTGAACTCCTCAAAATATGAAGAAATACTGCCTAATTTAGATTTACTACATTCTTTTTCTTAGAAAAATCCTCTCCTCTTCTTCTTTTTTTTACCAACCTTAAAAAAATCATGTTGATAATTAGATTTACAGTGTCAAAGGCTCAAAGCCACTTGTTTGGAAACATAAAACATGTACTCCTAAATGAGATTGCAAGCCTTCCCTTGGAATCGCTTTGCGCCCAAATAGACACAAGTCAACGGCAAACTAATTAAGAACAAGAATTATGAGAGACGCATGATACTCAAGAAAGTAGAAACCAAAGAAGAAGCGAGGACTGAAGGCGAACCGCAAACCTTCAAATATCAGATTATTAGATACAAGAAATCTAAATCCATAAAAAGTGAATGCCGCGCGGTTTCAAGGGGAAACTGCATTTTCATTCCGTTCCAGTGATATATATGTATTTTCTTTTCTTTTGGTGGGGGGGGGGGGGGAGGAGATTGAGCAAAAGATAAAGATTACAGCTCCTCGGCCTCCGAACCAGAACAGAACTTTGTTCGAACGGAACGAAAACAAAAAAGCGCGGAATGAAACTCGTCAGTCATCAGGATAAAACAAAATGAATCCATGGAAGCGAAGAATTTGCTTGACGTGGAAAGACGGGCACGAGGTCATGTTGAAAGTGAAGTATGAGATTACGGAAGAATCGTGGCCAATCCTAACCAGAACCCAATCGCAATTCACAAAGAAGATAGAGAGGAAGCACGTACCTTAATTCAGAAGAGTAAGGGTGAAAAGATCATCCAGGATTCCAACACATCAATCTCTCACATGCTGGGAACAGAGCGCAGACAGACCTGGATGCGTGTTTATATAGAGAACACGCACAGAGAGCGATGGAAATATCAGAGGAAAAAACAGAGCGCTTTACCACAAGCAGCCTGTTCCGCCCTGCTTTCGACGTTGGAATACCACTCAACACATCTCTCTCTCTCTCTCTCTCTCTCTCTCTCTAAGGAATAAATGCCGAATGGAACAATGGAGGGGTGAAATGGCCTGGCGAGGAAGGGCGGAGCCTTTCAATATTTAAAATTATTTAAATTTAAATGAAAAAATCACGATAAAATTTTCAAAATATATAAATAAATCTCTCAAAATATTATAATTATACTGAAAGTTTTAAAAATTTTTATATTAATAAATTTTAAAATAAAAAAATAATTTTATTCTTATTAAAAATGATATATTACAATAATAATTTTTTAAAAGAATAAATTTTTATTTTATAATCATAAAAGTTAAATAAAATTATAACTTATCAAATATAGTTTTTGTTATTAAAAATAAGTTATTAAAAAAATTTTAATCATAATTTTTATTTAAAAATAATAAATTTTATTTAAAAAATTAAAAAAATTGAATAAAAAATTACAATTCATGAATAAAAATAAAATAATATTTTTAATTTAAATTTTATTGATATATAAGTCTCTAGATATTTTAATAAAATTATATAGAATTATTTATATAATTTAGAAGAGTTTATCATTATTTTTCACATTTAAATTATGTCATTCTCAATTGTTAATTTAATTTGTTGGTGCTTGTTTAACAGCATGACCTTTTGTGAGAGGTTTGGGGATGACCTAAATGCCACTATGGCATAAGAATAGAGGCTATATGGTTTATGATAGAGCACATAGATACTATAAAGAAATGGATGAATGTGATATGAGTCGGCGGTCCGCCCTCAGTGGGCGGAAAGTGGCGCGTGATGATGTGAACAGCCCAAGTTGGAGTGGAGGGGTGACGTGGCGGGAGGTGAGGTGAGTGCCGGAGGCTGGCAGCGTCCGTGATAATGACCAAGCGTCAAGGGAGAGCGTGAGTGTACTCACGCCGTTTGTTGTCCAGTCCTCATGGGCAAAGGAGGCATGAGGGAGCGGCGTGGTAGGGCCGTTCTCTTGGCTGTCATCGTCTCGCTCTTCCTTTGGGCTGGGATGGCATGCAGCATGCGGGCGCTGGGCTGCATTATCCTGAAATGACCACAATGTCCCTCCACACTTTATGAAATCATGTGGCTTGCACTTCTTCCTGGAATTTTCAATTTCCCCCAATGCTTACGCACGCACGCTCTAATCACTTCGCACGGATAGATTAATTTGTGGACAGGAGCGGTAGTTTCACCTAATGTTCCTGTCTCGGTCTGCGAAGGTGGATTCCTTGGCCCATGTAATTTCTGTGCCTTTTGTCTTTATTAATTACGTAAATGTATTTATTTCAAATAAGAGATGGATGCTGGCTTGGCTTGAAGAGGGAAGAGCATGAAAGAAACTCGCTATTTGTGAGCTCCCTTTATGGCAGTTCTCCTCAAATGAACGTATCATCTTTATTCAAAAATCAATTAGCTAATAGCATTCAGGATGGAATTAATGAGCATGATTAGTCATGAACTGCTTTAGAGTACACGTCACTTGAAGACCAAGCATCAGTGGCTTAAATTAAATGTGGAGTGCTTCAACGCACGATGAATTTACAAATGGTCATCAACTCCATTTCGAGAGGTTGAGACTTGAGACTCCCTCTAAATTCATTGCCACCCATCATGTATAGTCGCGTTCGGTGTCAATGCTTATCATCACCCTATTCTTTTAGATTAAAAATCTAGGTAATCCAAATTTATAGATTTTTTTATTTTATTTATTATAAAACATTAAAAATTAAAATTTTTATAAATCTACTTTATCATCAATCTAAACAATACAAATTTAATTTAAATTTTTTAATTTGATGCTAAATTTTTGAAAAATATATATATAAGTTTCATGAAGTAGACTTATTTAAAAATTTACAGTTATTTTATTAATAATTTACTACTATCACTTCAATTTTTTACAATCATAACTTTAATTTTTTATATTAAATATTTAAACATTTTAATTATAGGACATATAAAGTCATGGCTGTAAAAAATTAAAGTAATAATTATAAATTAATGATGAAATAGTTGTAAGTAATTGGTGTTAAACTTTGTTAGTAATGTATAATTAGTTAAACTAATATATATGTGAAGTTATAGTTGTAAAAAATTGAAATAATGGTCATAAATGATAGAGTAGTTATAAATAATTAGTATTAAACTTTTTAACAATGCATAATTGGTTTAACTATTATATATGTGAAGTTATTATTGTAAAAAATTAAAGTGATAGTTGTAAATTACTGATAAAGTAATTGTAAATTATTTAATTGATATGATATATTTTTATTAAGACATTATTATCTTTTGACCCCAATTTCATATTTCACTCAAGTCTCAAAGGACTTGATTGTAATTTTTAAATTTTTAAATTTATTTGTAAATAAGTATGTTCCATAGGATCTATAAGTAATTTTTTTTAATTTTTTATAATTTTTATAAATTAACTATTCAAATATATTATGCACGGTCTAAAATTTTTATTTTAATAAATATAATATTAAAATATAAAGATAAATATAATATTTAAAGTGAAAATTTAAAAAGCTTTAAGCAGAAGTCAAAATTTTAAAATTTCAAAATTTTAAATTTAAACTATCCATATTTTGAATAGTTAATTAATAAAAATTATAAAAATATTTAATATTAAATTACAGGATTTAAATTAAATTTGTATTGTAAAAATTGATTATAAGATATATTTATTAAATTTGTATATTTTTATGTTAATAAATATAGAATAAAAATAAAACATAAAATTTATAAATCTGGTCCAAATTAAATATGGCCTGTCGAGCAGCATGTTAGCACTGAAACCGAACGCCGCATAATCATATCGTCTTCCTCTTAGTTTGGCCGTGGGCAAGTTCAGATCAAGATCTCTGGCCGTCAAAAAACTCAAGTGCAACACATGTGATGTCACATCCTGTCCCATGCATGAGTGATGCTACAGTACTTCAAATTAACAACCCAACCAATCACTTTGCATTTACAGTACTTTCTTTTTATTGTTAGGAGAAAAAACAAAAACTTTTTCCTGCATCAGGTATTAACTGAACTCGACTGCCAAGTTCCTCACCTCATCAGTTATAAATGTAATCACTATGGCTTCACGCCACATTGCCAGGATTGTGGTTTCCAAACATGAAAATTAATTAATTAATTATAATTTATATAATTGATTATTAAAATTTTCAAAAATTAATTTTAAATATTACAAGAAAAATTTTTTTTTATGATTTTTTAAAAATAACCTGTCATACTACACATTTTTACAATTCAATTTGTTAAACATCACAATAATTTTTCATTAATTTAAATAGTAGTAATTTCAAGAAACATTAATGATTATTCACTTTAAAAAAATCAATAATTAATTGTAAACTCGTCACCATTTTTTTCTTCTCCAGTTTCCATGACTCGCACCAAGTTGCTAAATAGTAGTGTAATATATTACTCATTCCTATCAGCAAGGGAACAAGTGGTGGGGCTCAACTTGCTCTTCGCTTTCTTTAGGCAATGAAGACATTGACACTCCAAAAGCAAGGCGGTCTTACGAATAATATTGATTAACGAGAAGAGGTCATTGTGCGTTGAATTAATGGGCGAGTTGCTTTCCACTTGCACATCCTCTGTGTTTCTGATAAAGATTCCATCACATTTGTACTAATTACACACACACACACAACACATCATTGGATGCCCCTTCCATCCCACCCAACATTAACAATTCAACTTCCCAAATACTCACATTTCCTCATTTATATTTCTTCGGAACAATCATCTAACTGCAGAAAACATAGGCGAATAAATCAGAACCAAAAAAAAATGGCATTGATGGACACATTTGCTTCTAAAATTTTTTTTGAGGTGCAATTGATATTTTTAAGTGTTTAAAAGTATAATAATGCCCTTAATTTTTTTTTTAGAGTGGTACAATATTTTTTTAAATTAATAAGAAGTAAAAAACGTTGACTGTTAGTTGACTTTTATATGATGTGACATTTAACCCATAATTTTTTTTTTTAAGGAAAAGTTTTGATCTTCCCCACCTTGTGCTTGCTAAATTATGCACTCCTTGTGCCTGCATACATAGCCAACAAATCAAGAACTCGCAAATGAAGCCAGAAAGGAGTTCAAAGAGGCTCGCTCTGATATTCTTCAACAATTGAACTACAATATCCAACAAATCAAGAAACAACATCCAAAAAATCAAGAAAGCAGTGAAGAGGGGGGAAACAATAGTGGTCTATTTTCTTCAAAGACCTCGGTCAATAAACAATAGTACATACCCAACAAATCAAAAACCCAGAAACAATGAAATTAGAAAATGATGAGCATATTGCCTTGTGAAATCAAAAATGATGAAATATGAAATCGAACCATATTGCTTCAGAGAGGGGCGGGGGCAAGGTGAGATTGGGAAGAAAAAGAAAACAAAGGCGGGCTTTAGAGAGGAAGAGAGGGGCGATGACGAAGTGAGATTGAGGAGGAGGAGGAGGAGGAGGTGGAGAAGAAGATCTGAGTAGGCAACAACAGAAATGATATCACAGTCAATGGATTCTAGAAAATTGGAAGAAGAATAATAATAAACTGGTGATGATTCTGTGGAGTTGTAGTGTTATGGAAATCCAGTAGAGCAATAAATGGCTAAAATAAACAATTTTACAGTTAGCATTGTCAGTCACGCTAGGTTAGGTCAAAATTGCTGTGCTTTAATTACATTAGGGAGAATACAATGCCTAAAAATACTTAAGAATACCACTTGCACCTTAAGAAAAACTATGAGAACGAATTTGCACTTTAACCTAAAAAAATTACACATACAATAATCATTCGTTAATATTTACATATTATCACTTTTAATTAATTCAATTTACGAATTTCTCATAACATGAATTTAATACAGTACAGCGACAAAATTATTAATGACTGAGATTAGGCAATAGAATTTAAAAGGGAAGTAAAATTGTGATAGCAATTGGACATGAAAAGAAAGCGAGTCATGGAGGGTGAAAACTGAAAACTGAAAAAGCACTGTGTAGTAGCTGGGGAAAGCAAAAGTGGAGCTATCACATGACATGGATTTCAATCTCTCTTGCTCCCCACATTTGGGAAGCTAAGACTTTCCAATATCCAGCCAGCGTCCAAAGTTCAGTTCGTTCCATAATCCTAACAATAGCTTACCACATAAAAACCCTGTAGCAGTGCTTGTGTATCTTGTCATGTCAACACTGTTTTTCTGGATGGAAATGGTATTGATATTGATTTGGTATCAGCAAATGCAATTATTCAATGAAACAAACCGCATATAAGGATCTCAATCTCATTTGCGAACCTTGATTAACTGTAATAAAGGGGAGGACGGGATAAAAGGGAAGAGGCTACCACACTTTTAATGGTTCAGCCAACAAATCCATATTCTGTCCCCATCTTCAGAATCTCCTAATAATTGATTTTCCACAACTGTCATTATTCTTTCTCTAGCTATCATCAACTAGCAGTGACCACTGTTGTCTGGTCCAACTTCACAGAATGTTGATGAGCATAAATAGACTATGGTTAACAAATGCTCCCTCCACTTAAGATATAGTTAAACTGTAAGATAAGGTCACTCAGAAAAATAAACAACTATATTCAAAATATTAAAAAATTAAAAAAAATAAATAAGTCGTACAATCAGAATGAGCTCAAAATGGTTTATTATAATAGATTGAGACAATCCATACTCCATTCCATTCATTATCGGGGCAAACTTTCTGCAACTATAGTTTCAACTCTGTGAAAACTCCCTTGCCAAAACGTGGGAGAAGGCGAAGTGGATCGCAAAAACGACGAAGAAAATAGTAATATAATCGTAATATGCTCCTTAAAAGTCAACACTTTCTTCACCTTTTTCCTACTCTATTTGGATACGAACCTTTTCTTCAGTGATGGTAATTAGGCACGAACTGATCTGCCAGGGCATGGAAGTGGTTATTTTCTCCTTCAAGAAGGCGAACAACCTGAAGTGACAAGCTATTCATTGGAATGAAGCTCCGTATAAAGAAAAATTGAAGCAGTAAAAGCAGATACTTGGATACACCAGGGATGGCAGTTATTTCTTTGTTAGTAACATGGTCTTATCTCCAATGCTATTGTGCATGCATGTCCATGTAAAACTCTATGCGTGCACTTAATGTCTCATTTATCTTAAAGCGGTATCCAAATGTGTTGTATATATTAGTTTTTGGGAACCCAAGATCCCTCATCTTATAATGAAAATTTAAAATCATTCCAGATTCCCAAGATGTTTGATGCCTATGACAAGAATTTCGTGCATACATTTCTTAATTGGAGCGCGTATAGGATCGTAGAGATCTCCAGACATTTTAGTTTCTAATGTTGATTGACTGTAGAGACATGATATTTTACGAACCCCTAATCTGATGTTTGATCTAGCAAACATTAGAAGCCATTGATAACATGCTTCGCAGATAAACCCCAATTCCGCCTGAAACTAAGGACTCTAACTATCTGCTCATGTTCAAAATTTGGGTAGCGACTTATAAATCATATTGACGAATTCTACCACAAGACTATACAAAATTGAAATCCGTAGCACTGAATTTCCAGTTACCTCTGCCATTGATGGTCGCATCTCAGGCTTTCTTTGCACACAGAAGTATGCTGCTTTTGCCATAAGGTGTAGTTCATACGTGTCATATGACTCCCCAAGTCGTGGGTCAATGAGTTCTGGTAAAGCCAACTTCTCAATCAATATCTCGGCCTGAAATTTCCAAGTATTATAACTTCACCAAGGTTATTAGGTTGTAAGGTAAGAAAGGAGCAGGACCTTGCTTCATGCTTGCAGCACTTGTTAAATTTTTAAAAAGGTCCAACTGCAAACAGCTCTGGCCATTTGGGCAAGTGATTCCTTATAAATTTTATAAAATATGATAATCATCTAAAGAAACAAATGATAGATGAACATACCCATTGTCTGAGAGATGGTTGTTCAGGATTACTGGACATGCCCACCTTGCGTCCTGATATTAGTTGTAACAGAACAACACCATAAGCATACACATCTGTCCCCACAGAAACAACGCCCTCTTCAGCATACTCAGGAGCAAGGTATCTACATGAACAAAAAGTAGGTTCGTGATTGCTGGTTTTTGAACTTGGAATAGAAAAATACATGATTTGGCCTGCTAGCAATGTAATCTTCACACCAAGTCCTCATCCTAATGCGAATAGTTTTTTTTTTTTTTTAAGAAAAAAAAAGTCCTCACCCTGATGTGCCCATTATCCTTGTTTGCATAGTCTCATCGCCACCAGTCTTCCATTTGGCAAGCCCAAAGTCACCTAGCTGCAATTAGAAGACGCCGCAAGTTGAAATCAACAATCCTCTATTGAGATCAACCAATTTCTAAAAGATAATCAATCTTATCGTTTCTTAAATTAACTTGGTCAACCAAACATTTATTCCTCTGGAAAGTTAGAGTCAATTTCCCATATGGGTTCCAACAAAATTAATGAGAGCTCTTGATCCTATTAACTTGCAAATGCAAAGAAACACTCCCATAAAGCTACCAGTGTTGAGAAACCTATCTAGTTAGTTGAAGTGGAGTAGGGTTTGGGAGTTGGGAGGGGAAGGGAAGAAATCTAAAATGATTTGTTTGTTTTACGTGTTCCCCATGCAGTACAGTAAAACTTAGACGTAACGATATGTTCTGTCATACTCATAGCTGGCGAAAAGGAAGGACAGCTGCTGTCCTTTATCAGTCAAACCCTTGTAAGGGGAGTAAGTATTGGAATATTAAGAATGGCATTAAATCATCTATCGAACCAATGGCTGCTAGCCTCCAGTGGAAAGACGCTGAGAGACATGCTTTTTTTAACAAGTTTTGTAACTTATCCATCAAGCTTTGCAATTAGATAGATCACATGCAATAAGAAACTCAGGACTTCCGGGTTACTATGATCACTAAAAATCAAGTTTTATAATGAACTCTAGATGATCTAATGTTCTATAGAAGTGGATGACATTGGTATAACAAGTTGCCGGAAAAGAGAACAAAATTTTACCATGGGAACAAAATCATGAGTAAGAAGTATATTGCTTGGCCGCATATCCCGATGAATAATGGGCCCCCCGCGGCATTCTTCATGGAGAAAGCGCAATCCTTTTGCAGTTCCAATAGCAATAGCATATCTTTGGGGCCACTTGAGAACTTCAGCATCTTTGTCTGCAAATTTGTTTCCTGGATTCTCAGATTCTAAATCTTCAGGTGGATATACAGTCATGCGATGGTAAGAAATACAAATGATACTGCCAACAAACTTCTACATACTTACCAAATAAATGCCAGTCAAGTGACTTGTTGCAAATATATTCATATACCAAAATATTTTGCCTTTCTTTGCAACAGTAACCCAGCAGCATCACTATATTCTTGTGCCGAGCAAAACTCAAGACATAAACCTCAGAATGAAATTCAGAAAAGCCCTGGCTGCTTTCTTCTTTTCTTACCTTTGCAGCAATTTGCTGTCCATCTCTAAGGATACCCTTGTATACGTGACCATAACCACCTTCACCCAGTAAGTTATCCTTTGAAAAATCATTTGTTGCAATCAGTATGTCAGAATAGCTGAACCCCATCGATTCCTTAGCATACAATTCAGTCCTCATCCCACAACCAGCACAAAGAATTGGTGCATCTGATGATCTTGGTATAAAGCCATATTTGCTTTGCTTTTGGAAAATCTGAGAAGTAAGGGGATGTTTATATTCTCCCTTGATGCTTAGACCTGGCAAAAAATTGTATTGATATTCATTTCAATCTGAAGTTCATTCATTTTGTCTTGTATAGTTTTGACTCATGGCCCAGAGAATAAAAAAACAGGAAGGTCATTTTGTGTCATGAGTTCAATCATCAGAGAGAAGCCATTAACAAATTATCAGTTCCTAACATGGTGAATCGGTAGATGGTACTGCAGCAAGAAATGCTTATGCACAGGAAGCATAGAAATGGTAAGGCAGATTAAAAATATATGAAAAAAATGTTAGACAGGCCCCCTAACCTGATTTAGAAGACGACCCAGGATCTGATGGGAAGAGATGTTCATGTGATGCAAATGAGTGCTTTGTACTGTTCCTAAATGTGTCTGTGTTGTCAGAAAAAACCATGGATAAGGGACAGCTTTTGAAAGAGGAGATAGAATGCCCAATGTCTGCAATACTTTGACAATCCGATAGAGAAACAAATTTAGACAAAGAATAAGCAAGCTTGTTTTCTGTGACATCTGTTTCAAGTGATTGATGAGATCTCCAGATATCCACAAATAAGTCATCCTTAATCAATGCAACCTTGCATGGTATCCTGTTAAGAAATCTTGAGTCCCGTCGAAGGTGCCTGTTCCAATTTTCCAGTTACACTTGAAATCAGTACAGCACAAGAAAACAACCGAAGCCATAGAGCTGTACATAATGATTCTGAGTTCATTCATATACGAGATTGAGGCTTGTTGTTCTTGATAAAGATGACGTTAAAAACCAGAATTCATCTATTGCCAATGTTTTTAGAAGAGATAGCAGCGAGTCCAGGTTTGTGTAAAAGTAAAATCACTTGCTCTAGGAACTGATATTTCCAACAAAAAAAAGTTCAGAAATATCGAAGGAAAAAAAGTCTTACGAAGCTCAGCAGGGAAAAGGCTTCCATATACCTTAGGGGTGAGGACTATAGCAGAAGCCAATGATTTAGTCATTTAGACCATTTGGGGAGATTCATTTTGTATATAAATTCAAAATTACAAAATTATATGATAACGTAAATTTCTTTGTTAGAATTAGCTTCAAGGTCATTTCTGTAGAATTTCCCCCTCTCTTTTTTTAACCATCATAGAATTTCCCTATCTGAAAAGGCAACAATTTTATTATTATTTTTTTTAACAAAGCAACTGGTGACTGCTAGATATGCCCACTGCCACATTATGCATAAACGCAATTTAAATATTCTCCTAAAATAAGAGGCAACGTCCTTGGTAGACAATCACAAATCTCATCAGGCAAAAGATCATAAAGGTATTTTTGAGTGTTGAGAAAGCAATACCTATCGAGTACAATCCAAACTGCATTATAGCATGCAACCTCTTGCATTATAACCTGTCTGATTGGAAAACCCGCTGTAACTTTGACTTCAATGCTGATCTGGGGATAAATTTAAATGAATGAAGAACAACTTAGATTGTTAATAAAAGCATAATTAAAAATATGCACTCCCTCGTTCTATTTCATGGCAAGTTTTTTGGCAAAATCGTGAAAAACTATTGAGGTTAATTAATTACAGTATGAAATCTTACCATTCAAACTTTAAAAAATGAAAGATAATTCTTTATCAAAAAAAATAAAATAAAAATGAAAGATAATTTGTAAAACACTTTCAATCATTTCAAATATTAAAAAAAATTAATTTTTTTCTTAATATTATAAAAAAATGAGATATACTTTCATTTTTACCGTTGACTTTAAATCATGATATAATTCTATTAAATATTTTCATGTTAATTAAGAAAGGGTAAAATTATAAAAATAGTTTAATTATTATAGAACATCTTACATTCTAAACAAAAAATTATTTTTAAAAGGTGCCTTATAAATAAAAAAGGAAGGAGTATTAATAAATCATTGCTTTTCTCAAAACATTATATGTTGTTGAACATCCAAAAAAAAAAAACTCTTGTAAAATGGGACGGGAAAATAACACATTAAAGTTCAATACGCCTGCATTTTCCCAATCTTCATAAATCGGCGCAAGCATATTTGCATATGAATAAAGTTTCTTGCCAACTGCTTCATCCATTGCACGAAAGTTTGTGCCAGCAAAAGACTCGGGGCATGGTAGTGTCTGATACCCCACTGTTAATTAAAAAAAAAAAGGAAAAAGAAAATCAAGTTCAAATGTTGAGACGTCTATACAAACCAGTATAAACATCACAAATCTTTTGACAGGGTAGTAAATAGTAAAATATGAAATACAAGTTGTTAGCTGGAAAAGAAAAACAGACCAAGGTTTAGAAATAATTTCTCAAGATCAAATTGATTGAGCAATGATGAGTACTTACTGGGGTGTGGCACCTTATGCAAGACGCCGAGCACGAGCAATCTGTAACCTGCTTGTAGAATGCCATGGGTACTTCGTACGTGATCAAGAATGGACTTGATCTCATGCTCACTGCTATCTTTGGTGGCATCGCATGCAAGGATGACATATGAGGTTGAAGGAGGGCTCCCCATTGAGCGAACCAAAAAAGGAGTCTTCAAAGCAAAAGCATATTTGCTCCAAATTATTTTGGTCTCGCACCTTTGATGAGGACCAAGTTTGAAGCTTATATTTTGATACGAGTTGAGGTGTTGTGGATTAGCAAAGAAGCTTCCACATCCCTTATCCGAATTGCTATACCGACGACAAAGTTCGACTGATACAAGAATAATATTCCGCGGAATATTCTTTTAAAAGAGGAAAAAATGGCGGGAGATTTGCCGTCTTCAACAGTGATAATAGGAAGAGTACGAGGAACTCGAAGACAGGGATGGTTTCGAGAGCGGACATGCTCCCAGAGATCCCAGATTCTCTTATTTTTCAATTCTCAACATTGAACGATTCGTTTTCAATCAACCGTTGCTCCCGCGCAAGCTCCCATCAACACCTCTCTGTTTCTTTAATTTGATGTCGCGTTAAACGCTCCACCGCCTCTGAATTCTGTAAGTCTGAACTGAACTTTCATCAAGGAGCGTTAATTGAACAGGTCTGACCGAATGTTGAAATACCTGTATACATCCTCCGTTCATGCTACTGACACATTAATGAATAATGTTTATTTAATGAATAAAAATAATAATAATAAACGAAAAATTTGAACAATAATTATTAGGTGAAACAAATTACAGATATTATAAAAATTTGGCAATTCTCGATAAATTAATTAAATAGAAATAGAAATTAATATTAAGTGTTGAAAAATCAAACAAATCAATTGATGCATTATACGACAGGCGAGTGCACTTGTGTGTGATATTTTGAAAATAAAGATGATAAAGCATAAATTTATACTGTTACGTATCAAATATATTAAATTATGCATTTAAATTAAATTTAATATTTAAGTATGTGACCACAAAAAGTACTCCCTCTGTTTCCCAATTATAAGGTAATTTGATATAATATTACACATACTAACAAAGTTCAAAAATAATAATATTTTACAAATTTATTTTTCAAAACAAAAATATAATGAAATTTTTCCACACATAGCTCATAAGACTACATAAAAAAAATAGCTTATTATTTTTTAAATTTTAAAAATAACCTTTTTAATATTTAGTTGATGTATAATTTATAAAACTATCTTTTTGAAATTACAATACTCTGCTTTTGTAAATACCAAAACAGGCTCAAAGCACGAGAAATTAGGTGAATGAGAGAGACAATCAAAAGTCACAGTCACATCAAAAGATATAAATAGATCAAACTTAAAAATAAAAAAAATATAATAATGTGAGTGAGTCACAATTACAAAATAAGAGACAAATGTGAAATAAAAGATATCAACAATACTTAACAAGTGAATTAGCAACCATTGCATATGACTCAAAACTCAATTTAAGAATCAAATAGTGGATTTGATTACCTATTTCTACTTGCAACATATTGAAAAAACAACTTAAAAGACAGCTAACCATGTATTCAAATAGCCTGAGATTCTTTCTCAAAGTCAACACAAAAGGTCCTAATGCCTCTTCTCCTAACCTATGTCTAGCATAGCTTGAAATCATGGAACTACATGGAGCTGAGTCCTATTGATCTTGTTCTCTAAAAAGCTGAAAAGAATCCTCTCGTGTGTTGTATTTTTAAAATAGGTCAATAGTTGCACTTGATACGATGCTATTTTAAACGAATCCTACCTTGAAACAAAAGGCAAAAATTTGCTTGCCTTTTTCTAAATCTAGTAACTCAGAACACATAAAACATATTTTCAAATAGCATTTAACCAAAAAAATCAATAAAAATAAGTAATGCATCCTTGTCCACCTTATCTCCTCATTTCACCTAGATCACAGCTCACACTTGATGTTATTCACCTAACTAAAAGTAAACTAATTTAAATTTTGACAAGTTACTTATTGCATCTAAATAAGGGTATACCACGTAATAAGCAGATCAAGTCTGACCTCTAGAACTCCCACACATCCTTACATGCCCATACAAGTCATGCAAGAATATTTTTCTAGACAAAAATATTTTTGAATAATAAATCATGCTTTCGCATATATTATTTCCATACCAACACACACACACACAATTAATAACCTACTTGAAAATTAAATTTTTGAACAATAGATACACATTTTTCTAATATATTATTTTCTAAACAATAATTTGTTTCAACAAAACACATATAATTAATTGCAAGGCATAAACCATAATAAATTAGTAAAAGTTATATTCACCCCAAGCAATCAAAGTTCCTTGAACACGTGTTTTCTCACTACCAACACTTTCAACACTCTTATCTACATATAACACAATACTATGCATAATTAATATTGGGATTGGGCACTAGTTAGACCTTAATCTATAGTTAAATTAATTAATCCCATTAACCCAACACCCCTTCATATACTTAAACCCTCAATCTAAATCACTCATATTGTTAATTCACTTCTAATACACTCATTGATTCTCTAATTATCATAACCAAGCTCTTTGGGAAATTAACTTCACATTAATTAAATCAAAAAATCTAAAGTTCAGCTCATGTTTCAAATCATCATTCCAATAGCTTCCAAACATTTTTCTAAACCTAAATAAATTCCTAATAATCATAAAAACAACTTTAAAATCTGGATTAAATGAGATCTAACCATGATAATCTAGGGTTTTGCCCATAATAATCAAATTTGAATTTCAACCCCAAAATTATGTTCTAAAACACCTATTATACTTTCAACAGCCCTCACAACTAGATTAAATGTCCATAATTTTGTATTTCCCACTCTTATAAAAATTTCTAAGCGAGAAACTCCAAAAATCAACAAGAAAATGGAATAGGAAGGAAGAAGAGGAAGCTAGAAACTTGTCTCTGATGACCTCTAAGCCTAAAAATGACTCAAAGCCACAGAAAAGTTGGGCCCTAATAGAGCAAGCTTAATGTTCTTCACCTCCCTCTTTTCTTCTCGCATTTTTTGATCTGGTTTTTAAACCTATAATTATTTTAAAAGTGTTTGTTCGCGCACAGTTATGGTAATACAAAACATGTCTAAGTGGTCAAATTCAATTAAAACATGCGTGCCCTTTGTTTATGTCCACAAGCGGAGAACCCTTGTTTAGTTTATCATCTGCATGTAGAGGATAGTAGAATGGGCAGTTCTTCCTTAAGCCCAATTCTACTGGGTTTAACTCAATTCGATACCTATATTGAACCCCCAAACAACACTCTCACATACTCTTAGACCTAATTAAATCCTCAATTAAGTACCCCATCACCCAATTAATCTCAAACCACCTCAATTAAGTGTTATTCTATCATCAAATCCTCAATTATTCATATTTCCCTTCATAAATTTCCTAATTTAAAATTTAAAATGTTACACAATCCACTATGCACCAAGTGGAGGTATACCATGTGGCGTTGATCAAGTTATGATCTCTTATCACATCCACTGTATATCACAATAACTACCCTAATACTCCATATAAATGCATTGCATCCGCAAGATTTTTAAAACATCCAAGCATGTTTGAAAAGAGCAACACATATTAAAGATTTCATGACACTGCCATGCTAAAGAATCAAAATAATATGCATACATTTTAGATAAATACCCAAGCACATTGGGAAGGTTTAAACATATATTCCAATTCAAATACGCAGTTAAACAAGCCCTCAGTAGGCACAGTGATTTCCAGTACAATTCATTTGTACAAATATATAATAACAAAAAATCAACAACTTCCTAGTATAATAAAGATATAAAGTTGCACATGAAAACTGCCAACTCAAATGTTACTCTACAAAATTAATAATAATAAATATACTTTATAAATAAATGTCAATAATTCATTTTATCTATAAAAATTAACCCTAATGGTTCCCAATGTTTTCCATTTAAACTCTAAACTATTTTATCCTTTAACTCAAATGAATTTTCATAAATTTTTGTCCCATTTTTAATCGCTATAAATTTAATAATAACTTCTTATACTCAAATTTACTTAAAGGATTCAAAATCCACCTCTAAAGTTTTTTTCCCTAATTTTTTGATTTCATATATCTAACTTTAATCATTATATCGGGCTTATTTGTAAATAAATTTAGCATCTGGAGAAATTTTCTGGCCTATTAAATTATGAACACTATTCATTTATCGCAAGGCTTTCAGAATATTAAATTATACTTCAGAACCTTCAAATTCAATTATTTTAACAAAACTAGTCTATATAAACCCTAAATCTAACATACTTGATTTTTTTATTTTTTTTTTAACAATCCAATATTGAGTCGGGAACATAAAAAATTTATAACCTATCTAGTTCTATATTTATTTCCCTTATCGGAACCCAAAAATATCAAAAAAGAAAAAATAAGTGGGAAACTAAATTACTTACCTTATTTTTAAAAATATCAAATAAATAAGTTAAAATTTCAAAATCCAACAGGACCTAAACGAAGCTCTCGTGTCATTTCTATAGGTCACACCCGATCAGTCTCTTTTCACACGCAGTCTCGACGCCAAGGAATGAAATTTGCGCTCACAAGACACCCCATGAATGAATCCTATATTTGTTTTTTATATATATAATTATACATTATAGTAACTATTCATTATAAATATATTTCTTTTGAAGATACTAAATTATACATTTTGCTCAAATTAAATTTTTTAATATTTAAATAATATATTAAATTATTGCAAAGAATAAAGAAACCAGCACCACGACCCAACATCAAAAGGAAAGAGATTTTTTAAAACAAAAAAGAAAAAAGTAACAATGCAGGCTCCCGAAAAACAAAGGAACAAATCTGGCTTTCCAAGGGCGAGCAACAAGTGTAGGTCCCCGCATTTATAATGAAATACGAGATGCAGACAAAGTCCGTTGGAGGTATTTGTCAGAAGTAAAATTGTGCAACGCGTGGCCAATATAATTCTCTTCATCTGACGCAAGAAATTATTATAAGGACGACGCTGACTTTGCGCCTGGGAGGTTAAGCGTTCTGGCCGCATATGACTTTTCCAATTTTTTTTTAAAGTAAATGCTATCCATCAATCATTTAATAAAATTATATTAATTCAATTAAATAAAATAAAATATATTATTATTTTTATAATAAAATATTTATTTAATTTATTTATATTTTTTCTCTTTATTATTATTAATTTTAAAATTAATTCACATTTAATATTATTTAAATATTATATTTTTATTAAATCTAATTGTAAATAACTCGATGTACCAAATTCATTTAAAATTTCTGAACTTTGAAGGTAATAAATAAAACACGTTTGTAGTGCCAACCATATTTCCAAATAACAGTTTGTTTTTTGTTTTTTTTTTTAAGTTAGCAAACGTCGAAACATTTGCAGGCAGGATGCCAACAAGGTTCTTGGCTTTGATATTTTTTTCTCCCCACTCTCAAGTAAAAAGACAACAGTTTGATTTCCATGATTTGTCAGTCAAGACGTGTTTAATATTTTCTCCTTCCATTAAAGAGTCTGGTTGTGACGGTCACGTTACTCCCTTAGCTTCTAGAAAGCAAGCAAGAAAATTGCAAGAGAAAACAAAACCTGCAACTCATCTCCCCACCCATCGATCTCAACTATTTGGGCGTAATAGTGATCGAGCACCCCGTATAATTAACCACAAAACCAGAAGGCTAGAAGCATATAACAATCGTGTGTTTTTAAATAAAAATGACAATGAATGGTGTTGAGTAGGACAGAATCAATGTGATTTGATGGATATTGCTGAGGTGGAATATGAGAGCACCGTTTCAAACGCAGAGTCTCAACGCTGCCATTTATCTTTCGCTTTCTTCAAGAGCAATGGGAGCCCACTCAATTAATTGACGCCATTAATTAATCAGTGTCTTCTAACTTCCGTTTGGCTCTTCCTCTCCCTCTTCCCCGTTTCCAACTTTCCATTCTGCTTTTCAGATGCGTAAAGGAGTCGCTCACACCCACGTTTACGCTCCTTGATTGGCAAAAAAATATACTCTAGATTATAGAAATATAGAGAGAGACAGCTTTTATCAAGTCTGCTCTGTTTCACTATTTTTTATGCTGCATAATCCGGCCGTCTGCCCCAAAATGTTCACGAGATTTTATTTATTAATTTTACTTACAACTTATAAACTTCAACAAAACTCATTGAAAATTATTTTTACATCTGGTAATTTTGAGAAGTAAACAAGTTGTACATTTAACTCGTTTTAATTAATTTCTGTAGCCTCGTGAAACTAAGTAAAAGGATTGAGGGGGAGCATTGTTCATTTATTTAAGAATGTAAAACTTGAAGCTGACTTTAAGATCCATTAAGAAGCATCCAAGTGGTGATTTTTTTGAAAGCAAAAGACCCTTAAACTAGTCGTTTATTTGGTTTGTTTTTTTACAGGAAACGGGCCGTTTGATTTTTATTTGAAGGATAAGGTTTGTTATGGATTGGAGCACAAGTGGGCGGCAAGAGACTGATTTTTACACATACCAACCAGATTCCAGAAGTCCAGAGCTTCATATTTGTACTATCTTCCAAGTCTTTAGACTTCCTTTTCTGATTTAGCATATTGCGTGAGGTGCAACTTCATATAGGCTTTAGGCATATTGCGTGGGATGTACTGGTTGCTTGGTGGGACATCAAATATTATAAGTTATGATGAATGAAATGATAGTGAGTGGAAGGCAAGACCATAATAATTATGGCTTTACGATCCACTTCTTGGTGCAGCACCTGATGTGGGGTTTTAATGCTCTCTTGCAATCATTCCTCTCGCCCCTCTCCATCATCTGAACCTTTTTATTCTTATATATAGGCATAGTAATTTTTAATCAAATATATTAGTACCCCATCCATTCAAATAAAAAAAAAATTAGATTACACTCTCAATAAGTTAATTAATTGTATTTAAATTGATACAATCTCTACATGCTTGCTTCTGTTTAATATGGTGCTTCTCTTAAATGCTTCCAAGGGTTTAGAGTGATTTATTTATTAAGAATATTATTAGAAAAAAAATTATTAGGTATACACTGAAAAACAAGGAAAAACTTCTTATATTTTTAAACAGCATATGCAAGCAAGTGTAAACATTTAAATAAGATTTTCCAATGGGCCACGTTTGGAGGGTGAGGGTGGAAAATATTTTAAACACTGAAAACGTACAGAATGAGTTGAAGGAGCGGGAGGGGGGAAAAAATTGCAGGGCTAACAGCCCCCGTCCAGAATTCCTTGACTTTTAGGAGCCTAATACCCTCTATCTCAACCATTTATCTTATTAAAATCTTAGTTACCAATAAATTAACAGCATCGATCACTTTTAAGGCTTACGTCGATCGGTGAAGGCATTCATATTATCACCCTCCTCTTCTGGTTTAGAAGCACGCAAACACTCTTTATATTTATATTCTTTATCTGCCCCGAAATTCCCGGGACCAAAACAGAAAGAGCCATGCTTGATCCGGCAACACATCAACCCGCAAATTCTGTTCATTTACCGAATAGAATTGGAAGTAGTATCCATGGCTATAGCAGATGGGAAGACAGAAGGACCTCCGGTTTCTGGGCTCCAAAACAGGTGGATGACGACGACGCTACTGGTGTTTGTTCGCCGCCTTTATGGAAGACAAGCCCGACCAGAAGTCCACAACATGACAAAAATCACCATCAAAGTCTGTCCCCTTCGTCAAGAACGCGAGCCATCGCCAGAGGCCAGAGGGAGCTCATGGAAATGGTTCGGAATATGCCCGAGTCAACCTACGAGCTCACACTGAAAGATCTGGTGGAGAAGCCCACGGTTGAAGAAGATGAAGAAAACGAGAAAGAAGAGGGGAATTTATTGAAAAAGAATGCATATAAGAGGGAAGGTAGCGGTAGTAGCAGTAGTAGAAGGGTCGATCAGAGGCCGCAGGAGATGAGAAGTGGAAATGTTCAGAGTGGAGGGTTATATTTGAAGATGATGATGTTCCCCCCATCTCTGGGATCGAGGAAGAAGAAGAAGAAGACGAAGAAGAGCGAGTCATCGGGAAATGATGGTTCAAAGGCGTCCCTGAGACCATCAATGTCCGAAGAATCTTTGAAAGGTGTTGTTGACAAGGAGTGGTGGAAGAAGAGCCCTTCAGGGTCGTCTGGGAATAGTGAGAGCGTTGCGACCAGCATCAATAGCGGAAGCGCTAAAAGCTCTGGTAGCAGCAGCGGCAGCTGCAGCAGAAGCAGCAGCAGGTACATTCAAAACTCATTGAAATTTTCTCGACAGCTTTGGGGGGTTTTTTTTTTTTTGGACCAAAGCTTTGGTTTACTTATAATGGAAATTTATTTTCAAGAAACATTCACTGGCCCAGAGCTTTCTTTTAACTCAAGCAATCGAATGGTCTGATTTTAGCTACGGAAAATCGTGTTCCTGTTTTGGCTAGTTTAATGATGCAGTTAACGAGGTTTTGAAGTTCAGATAGTTAGTAATTGCAGGGGTGGGCTTTGGAAACCAAATTAATGAGTGATGAATAGGATGGAAAATGTGCGTATGGATTGTGAAATTCACGAAAGATTGCAGATCGAAGTGTTGGCAGGAAATGGTTTGGGGTGGGTTTAGATTGATTAATTGAAGTATGAGTTGTATTTGTTTTGAGGGATGAGTGGGAGTCCAATGTCAATTGTGATTTGTGAGAAATAGCTGGTAGACAAAAGAAAAGGTTGTTTAGTAGTAGGTGGATAAACACTTGTATGATTTCTCAAGGGACATTAACGGTTAATCCTAAATAGAGGTGTTTATAAGCTCACTTTAATTTAGTTCTGACCAAAAATCAAATCGAGCTAAATTATTTGATTTACTCATAATTAAAAACCTGATCAATTTTTATGGAGTTTAATTTAATTTTTTATTTGATTCGATTTGATTAAGATCTGGATTAAGTTTAAATATGCTTATTTAATTTTTTTTTCATCTTCATAATGATGCCATGTCTTAAAATTAAATTTAATTCTTTTTGACTCTTTTTTTCATAAATAGAAGTATAAAATATAATAAAATTTTAATGTAATAATGATAATTAATCATAAAAATTGATATAAGATTTTAAGATTAAAATTATTTAATATTATGCATTTCCATTCAAGTCCTTTGAAAATGTTTATCTATGTATCTATTTTTTAACAAATAATGAAAAATTTATTATACAAAATTCAAAACAAAATATTTTTTATAGATAAATTGAATACTAAGGCTTTTAAGTTGTAAATAATTAAATGATAATTATAACATGATTATTATAATTATTTAATATTCTACACTTTTATTCAAGTCCTTTTAAAATGCTTATCTATTGCTATAAAAAATTTAAAATAAAATGCTTCTTGTAGATAAATGATTTTATATTTTATAAATAAATAACTAGTATTTTTTAATCAAATTTGGCTCAACTTAATTCAATTTTTTATACTCAAAATCAAATTTGAACCAAATTAATTAATTCTCATATCATAAAAATTGAAGCAGATTTAATTATTGTTCGGTTTGAATCAGTTTTTTAATTTAAATTGATTTTAAACACACTTAACTCCGGACATGAAAGTTATAGGGAAGTGATTAATTAACAATGTTTAGTGATGACAATTGAGGATTAATAATGCAGGAAAGAGAGGGGCGGGGGCAGTTGCTGGTTTCTGATTGGTAAACCCAAAAGGCTCTCGCGGGAATAAGGGAAGTACCCCAGCCGTGGTGTCGTTCAGATCAAACAGGGCCTGCAAATTGTGATTCAATTTTTCCAATTCACCTCAACAAGGAGTGTCTTCATTCCTTTCTTTTGACATGTATAAATGCTATCCCCTCAATATGATGCTCCTAATTCCAAACTGCGGCTTTTTAGTGCGTCAATTGGATTCTAATTTTGGAAATGAGGTGCGTTTCTTCTTTGACTTGAAACAAATCGACGATGATCGGTCACTTTCCAATTTTTGAAATAAATTGTCAGTTAGTAATAGTTGAATAAGTTGTCTGGTTTTAAGATTAAATCAGCTTCATGTTTATTTATTCCTCCAGTTATAGATTTGATATTGTGCATTAAATGTCCATCATCATTACCAAAACTTAACCAGACTAATTAATAACTCCGTTTCCTTAGAGAATAGAATAAAAGCGTCTACTACCCATCTCTCTCTCTCTCGCGCGCGCGCGCGCGCGTTTTTTTTTATGCAACACACACACACAAATAGGTTTATGCATCTCAATTCTCATAGGAACAATTTAGAAGACAGTGCGCTTGCTCTTTTACCTTTTTTTTTTTTTGGTGCCTTTTTTGGGTTACTAATTTTTCGTTATGCAATTTTCCAACGTAAGCTGTGAAAACCCTGCTGGTCAAAAAAAAATTCTGAAAAGCCTGATCTGTTAAGATCAGGCCTTGATGATCAACGTATACTACGTTTCATTTTGTTTTGGTTGAGGTAGGCAAATTGTTGGGCCTAGCCTAACCGGAATTAAAAGGCCTGCAAAAAGCCCAGGAATCAGAATCCTCGTCAGCCAAGTTTTATAACAAATGACCAAAACTTCATCCAAAAACCAAAAATGACAACAATAGATCACCACAAAAGGGGAGAAGAAGATCAGTAATTCATGGTTCTGATCCTCCCTCCCAAACGGTGATCCATGAATCAAATGGGGTAAATTTTCACGTAAAATGGATGTGCCATGTTATTTGCAATTTATTTAATTGAAATACCCTAAGTCATCTAAATAAAATTTAATTAATTTTATTCTTAATAAAAATGTATATTTAATTTCTGACCTTTTCTCTTAATATTATCATTAATGTTAGAATCAATTTATATTTAATATTTTATAAATATCATGTTTTTATTGAATAAATTATAAATGACATGGTATACCCGATATATTTAAGAATTTCTTACCAAATGATTCTTTGATTATCTTATTAAGTTATAAATAGCATCTTATGCTTAAAAACTGATTTCATTTATCTTGTCCATCAAACACGAATAATATACTAGTGTGACTGGATTCTTTTCATTAAAAACCATTGCTTTTTACGGCACCTTCTTTAGAATCGAAATGCTCTCTTTATTCGCTGTCACAATTCAAAACGTGCCATGCTTTTTCAAACCCGTATAATTTCAATTTTCAGTATCGAAAATGTACTACACTGCGATGGTTTTAACACAAGAGATGGAGTACTCTTGCGAATTCTCCACCCAATGCGTGCGTGTGCATATATATATTAGTCATTTTCTAGAATAATCTCATATATTAGTCAATTTATACAAGATTAATGGCGATTTTTGCTCTCGAGCTTTTCGAGCCAGATCTGCAGGAGTGTTTTGAACTCAATTTTAGGTAATTTTCTTCTTGAATGTTTAAAAATTCATTCATTATTGCCCTATCATTAACACGCTTGTTAACTAAATTTTTGTGACAATAAAAGTACACGTTCGATTCACGTTAACTACTCAATTAAAAATTATTTTTATTCTTAAAATATTTACCTAGAGACATCTAATATTCTAAACTCAATTATAAGTCATTTTTCTTCTTAAATATTAAAAAGCCTAACCATGCATATCATGTCGTTAACGCCACAAACGAATGTTAATTTAAATTAGTGAGCCTCACACTTGTATACGTGGCATCCAAGTGAATGCCTATTCATAAATTTAGGAAGAAAAAAAAGTCCTCTCTTAGATCACATTAGAAGTTAGATTATAAAAATTCATCTATGTATACACTTGGCAACTTGACTCGATTTTATTTTTAAATAAAAGTCTCCTTATGTATACTTGATAGCTTGACTCATATTTTTTATAAAAAATAACCCATGCCTACTTGACAAGTGTCTACCCTCACTCTCGATAACTGAGGCTTACAGTTGTTACAAGAGAGGGCAAGTGCTTGATCAAATTTAAGTTAAATTTTGGGATGTAATGCGAAGAAGGCAAGACATCAAGAGCAACTTAACAAACAAAAAAGAGTCAAGATACCAAATGTACACATGAAAAAAAGTTAATTTAATTTCTAATTGTGACATGAGAGAGGAATTTTAAAAAAATTTACTGGATGCCACACATACATACGCATGGGATCCATTAACTTAAACCAATGTTCGTCTATGACACACGAATGATGGGACATGTTTGGTTAGATTTAAGAGGAAAAATGACCCAAAATCAAGTTCATAACATTAGGTGTTCTCAAGCGAATACTTGGAGACTAAAAGTGGCATTAAACAGATAAATTTTTAAACGTTTAGTGAAAAAATGACCCAAAATTGAAATTAGGTTATATGCACACCCAGCATGAATGGTTTGAGGGTAATAATGATACTTAATTCTTTCATATAAAAAAGGTGAAGTAGTAATCAGTATTAAAAAAAATCACCCTCATTTATATTGAAACGTTTATCCCACAAGTTTATTTTTTATCAATTTGGCATCTTAAATTTATCTCAAATATCAATTTGATCTTTATTATTTTTTAGACATGAAGATTAGTAAAAATGAGTGTAATTATTTATGAAGAAAAAACAAACTCATGAATTTTAAAAAATAAAAGAACAAACCCAACGTATTGGATTAGATTAATAAAAGATAAATTGATTTGAGGATCAATTTATTCTTATTTAACTTTACATATATATATATGCATGTCAAGTCATCAAAATAATTCACACATTAAATTAATTTAAGAACAATAAATTTATTTTTAAAACATAAGAGACGACATGTTTAAAAATTAAACTTGAAAGACCAGGCTGATATTTAAGATAAATTTAAATATGTAAAATTTTTATCATCACAGTTACAAATCTTACACGACTCAAAATTCCCGTGCTCTTGTCTTTTGGAGTCTAGATACTCTAGAGAAAATGAGGCAGCAGGATTCTTAATAGAAAAGGTTAATTTTAAAAGGGAATGAGGGGTTAGGACAGCGCCTAGCTGCATATACAGGAAATTAGGGTATTAGAAGTCTCACATGCCTCCAACCATGTTTTTTGGTTCAGAACAAGTATTAAATCTCGAAAAAATGATTAGAAAAAAAGAATAATATGTAAGAAAGCTCTTCTAGTATTTCAAAGAATTAAATGTTGTAGGTAGTCATCAAATTCAATCAAATTCCTGCCATAGATGACTAAACAAGTACTTTCTCCATTTGAATATTTTCTAAAAACTTATTTTATTTTTAAATAGAAGAGATGTCATGATATTTTTAAATAATTAAATAATTTTACTTTTTTCTTAAAAAAGTAAAAAGATATTAATTGTTTGCTTTATCAACCATCACCATGATATTAATTGTGATATTATGAGGGATAAAATTAAAAAATTATAATTTAATGTAATTTCAATTGAATAACAATTTTGTATTGACACATAAGATTTAATTAAAAACTTTTTATATATAAGAATAAAAAGAGGATGTCGATGGTGACCAAAACAAACTCGCTCTAGGCGTCCTCAATTGATGTGTTATTGTCAGGTCCGAATCCTCAACATGACATGTCTCTGCGTGGCCCCTCTTTTTATTTTTTCCCTTTTCCTCATCTCATTTACACCCTTGTATTAGATAAGGAATGCTATGCTAATCCGAACTCTCATTGGATGGGTCTCACGTGTATTTTAGAAATACCTTTGTCATATTCATTTTAGGTGATTACATATTTCAGGATTCAAATTTAAAATTACAAGATAAATTGATTCAATTCTCTCAACCAATTTAACCAAATGTACTCAATAAAATAAAAAATAATTTTAAATTGTTAAAATTTAACACATGCTCAATTTATAATTGTAATAAACTAAATAAATAAAATTTTTCAATTATAGTATGCAACTGTGAATTATGCAAGTCAAATTTTAATAGTTTAAATTTATTTTTTATATGATAATTATTTTATTAGAACACTTAACTTTGTTGATAAAAATAATTAAATCTAAACCATTTATTTTATTATTTAAAGGTGGAGGAGATGAGACAAACAAAAGAAAAGTAGAAAGAAGATCAGCAGGGGATCTGCTTCCCTTATTGTCTCCGTGGATAAGGACCATAGATGAAGCCATTTACTTATTAATGATTCAAAGTTAAAACAACCGGAAAAAGTTGTTTATATTTTTAACATATAAGATAATTTAATAAAAATAAAATTTTATTAATGATATTTTTTAATATTATCCTTCTTATTATATTCTCTCTTTTTAATATTCTTTTATTGAGTATTTTTGTTTTGAAAAAAGAAAGCTATAAAGTATATTCAGTAAACTTTATTAATATATATAATTTTATTTAAAAGTATTCTATAATTTAAGGGAGAGAAATATCTTATATTCTATATACATTTGTCCCCTCAAGGGGTTTCATATAACAAATAATATAATTAAACCCAAGTGCCACGTCACAATATCATTATGCTATGCTCTGCTTGCATTTATTTTCAATCAATAGCTTAATCAGAAACTACGCATGGGAATTCTGATTAAGGGAAATAACTAACTTTGTTTCATGATTTGATTCCCCAAATTTTTTTTAGTCAGGCTTGTTTAATTTTACTTTGTTTTTGAAGGACAAGAATGCTTGGACATGCAGAATTTTGATTTGATTCTAATGTATCTTATGTGAATACATCCATGTTATATGAGACCATTGCACTAGCATCTATATATATATATATATAAACGTGTGAGAATATTATAGTTGATTTAATCACCAGAAAATTTGAGCTGACAGTATCAGTTTAACCAGAAAACGAACATTATATATTATAGGTCCAAATTCAGGACAACACAGAACAGTTCACTTCCTCCTTCATATGTTTTGCAAAGCATAAGCTAGACGCATGCATATGAAGGTCAGTGGCTCAGTACCAACTGATTTATTTATCACTGTCTACGTGCGCAATAGAACATTGATTAATTAAGCAACAGACAAGGACATATATTAAGCGTCCAGGAGCCTGATTTTATCAAGTGATGATTGCACGTCAATCTCATCGTGGCCCTTAGCTTCCAGGGATTGCTTGTAGGTCATCCCAACATATGCCCGTGGGTGATCTTCATCCACGAACTCCGGAGCCGGTGCTACAAATTTGTCCAACGATGGCCCATGCAGTGTCGCCACCGTGAACCTCTGCACCTTATTGTTGCCAACAATAACTCTATGCACGTGACTCTTGTACTTCCCATTGGTCAAGATCTGTACATGTGCGTGATTAATGAGTTGAGTTAATTAGTACCAGTCATCAAAAAATATAAATCCTTTGAAGGGAATTAATCAGCACAGCTAGTTAATGTACCTCAAGGTGGTCTCCGAGCTGGATGAGAATGGCATGATATGGAATATATGCATTAAGCCATTTCCCATTGTGGGACAGTATTTGGAGACCTCCATCCACATCTTGCATGAGGGTTATGATGAAGCCAGGATCAGTGTGATCACCGATGCCAACATGACCCTTAGATGCGTGATTTGGCGGATAAAGGTTCAAGGCGGATACGTCAAATCCCGACTCCAAGTTAAATGCTTTCTCAATGTAATTCTCTTCAAACCCCAACGCCTTGGACATTGCTCTTGCCAATCCCTCCACTATATTCCTCATCTCCTTGTGGTATTCACCCAGAACCTCACTTCCATCCGCCAACAGAATAATTAATCCCATTTTTCCAAATAGACATGTCCAGTTAGAATACGATATGATTGAGGATGTGAGAGATAACTTGATTAAATAAATATCAGCTGTATATGTACCTGAATCCAAACGGATGGGAAGGAAAATGACACTGAGGATGCGTCATCACCTTTAGATATTCCCTGTTGTCTCCATGAGAGTTTGATGAGCTTATGTCCCCTCTGATTCGCTCCCTTGGATCCTTTTTCCTGTACAATTTCCTCTCGTCTGAATTCATTGGATCAAAGAACTCGGATATTCCTTTGAAAAGATTGTCCGGCACTCTGTCCGGAATGCCATGATTAACCAGCTGCAAGCATGCGTACGAACAGTCAAATTTATAATTATGACTTGTCAATTAAGTTGACTTAATTGTACGGGGAAATTTAAAAATAACACAGCTGATTTAGGCTCGGACATAGAAGAAACCAAAGTTGCAGCACGCTTGGCCCAGACGTTCCAGGACCAGGGATTGTTGAAGAGGGTCATCAGAGAGAAGCAGAGAATAATCAACAGTAGGTATCTCATCGTCAAAAGCAGAATAAGAATCCGTTACACCATTGTCAATGGAAGAGTGATTTGAATTCGATTGAACTGATAATGGAGTAGATTTAGGGTTGCAGAAGTATTGTGATGATAAGGAGACCATATTAGCCATGGCAACAAAAGGAAGCAGGAAAGCGCGCGAGATCTAGATCTATTTATGCTTAGATGATTGAAGAGCTTTGCATGCAAAATAGGTTGCTGCCAATCCCCCTATAAATAAGCATTCAGGAAACACCCAAATTAGCAAATGCCTTGCAGTATAGTGATATGTTCACTCTGCTATCAACAAGAGATCTCAGCAGTGGCTGAGCTACGTGTGTATGAGGGAACACAGGCAGGAAATTATGCGTTTGGGTACAAGTTTTTACATTTTTCCTCATTTTTTTCATATCTTACACCCCTTACTTGGACAAAATTACATGGCAGGTGCAAGTTTCATATTTTGCACTCTTTATTTTGTTATTTTAAACTCTAACCCCATTGAGCCTTAAATACCAATAAGTTAATTGTTCAAAGATTTTAAAACATAAAAATATTGCAGAAAAAATATTAAATATTAAATTGTCCGATTTTTTAAAAAAACTAATATTTAAATAATTTTCCATCCTAGAGCAGGGTTTCGGCCTTATTATTAATCGCAATTTTGATCTCGCGTGTGATTTTAAGTGATTAATTAGTGACCGAGGCTTTAATTCAAAGAAAAAACAAAAGAAAGAAACACCCAAAATTACCGTCAAGTACGTGTCATTGAATCGTCAGAGTGCGTCACTGATCGTCTGTACTCACGTAGCTCAGATATATCCACCCCTAAAATGCAAAGAACGTGATCCATGGGATTGGGAACAGTAGCGGAGAGCGGAGACCAAAAAACGTTCAAAAGGAATAAGACAAAAAATGGTGTTGGTGTGGCATTGCAATGAGGCATTGTCGGCGTTACAATGCAAAGTACTAATAACAGGTTGTCCCATCATGTCGGACAGGAAGGCTGGTAAAAAAAAAGTGTTCAATTTTTAATAAGAATGAGGAACAACAATTTTTTTAATAAGACTACTGCCTATCATATTTTTATGATTAATACCCACATTTTTCTCATGATCCTATTTACAATTTTAAAAGAAAAGGTTTTTTTTCTGAATTTATAAGGTATATTAATGACTTTTTAATGAAAGTTTATTTTTTTATTCCTATTAAATGTTAGTAAAAATTTTTTTTATTAAAATATGTATATTTAATAAAAAAATTGAAAGCTTATCAAGTTTTTATATAAAATTAATGAATTTTAAAGTTTTTATAAATTTTGATGAAATATATTAAAAATAATTTATAAATAGGATAGAAAGAAGCATGTAATTTTATTTTATCATTTTTTTGAATTCATTTTATAATTTTTTTCTTATATTATTTAATTATGTGCAATTTATTTTTTATTAAAAACTATAAAATTCTCTGTGCGATGCACGGTTTTAGAGAGAAATTCTTTTTTTTTTAATTTATCTTTGGATGTTATGTGAGTTTGTATCTTTAAGAGAATGTCTGCCTTAATAAATAGTAAAACTTTGCGAGTCATGCTCTCCCTCTCTTTTCTTTTTGGCCTGAGTCATACTCTTGTCTTGTTTAGAAACTACATTCATCTTTTAGAAGTTTTGTTTTTATTTTTCAATAATTTTTTATATGGATATTAAATTATGGATTTTTACGTTACCTCATCCAAGAAATTCTAATGACTGGTGTTTTAAATCAAATTTGCATGAGTATATAATATTTTGTTGAATAAACTAATGGGTATTATAACAATTTTTACCATCAAGATAGTTGTCAATGATAAATGTGAATATAAATATTGTTTTAGATACAAATTTTTTTGTTAGTAAATGAATTAATATTACAATAACAAATGGAAAGATAATTGCGATTTAAACACTGTGCAAGAACAACAAAGGAATTTTACTGTAGAAAGAACAGTGAAAAAAGCGCTCTTATCATCGAACAGTGATGCAATGATCAACATAAATTAAAAACAATCAATTTTCAAAAAGGAAATTCACACCAGGCGTTGGTGGGAGCAAAAAGTAAGGGAATCAAAGATTGTCGAGGTAACAGTAAAACAACGCACTTTATAAAAGGAAAGATTTTTGGTCCTTTTTTTATGGACTTGAATTTTCTTCCCAACGGAAGGGAGAAGAGAAAAAATTAATATAAATTTAAATTATTAAATTAAATTTAATAATTTAAATTTAATAATTTTAAAAAATATAAATTTAATTTAAATGATTTAGATTTGTAGTAAAGAGACAGTAAAAAAAATAAATGAAAAAAACTCACCCTCTTTTTTACATTTGATGTAGTTTTGCCATTGATCAAATGTGCTTTTTGTGAGAAGATTTTTAAAATCACATTCAATATATTCATTAATACTTATGAGCACTGTCGTCATCACTCTTATGGGTCTAAATCTGAACCCTTGATTCTTGCTCAAATAATCTTTACCATTTATTTAAAATTATTTTTTAAATATTTTTATATTATATTTGTCAAAATAAAAATATAAAAATTATATTACAATATTAAAGATGTACCATCTAGAGTATATTTAAATGATCAATTAGTTAAAATTAAAAAAATTAATATTAAATTAAAAATTTCAAATTATACCTACATCATCCAATTTATATTTGAATAGTCAACTTGTAAAAATTATTAATAATAATATTAAATTATGTCATTTAAATTAAATTTATACTTGCTAGATTAATGATAAATAAGTTTGTCAAAGATTTCTATTTTTTTACATATAGTTTATTTTAATAAATATAAAATAAAAGTAAAAAGTTTAAATTTAAATTATCCAAATTTTACTATGGGTGATGAATACCACAATAATCCCTTCAATTTTTATTATAAAATAATTTTAATATTTTCACGCATATTAAAAAATTTAATTTTTATATCGTAAAAAAATAAAATGTACTTTTATTTTTACATCAACTTTTAAATAATAATACAATTACATTAAATACCTTCACGATAATTAATAAGGGGTAAAATTTAAAAAATAATTTAGTTATTACAATGTATCTTATATTTTGGATAAAAAATTACTTATAAAATATGTCTTATAAATAAGACCGGAAGGGAGTATTTATCCTCTAATAAGCATAAAAACAGTCCATATTTAATATTATAATTTTTAATTTTATATATTTTATTTTAATAAATACTTCCTTCATCTCAAAATATAAGTTACCTTCAAACAAAATATTATATATCAATAAACCTTATTAAATATATTTAATAATTTTACCTTTTCTAAATAAAAATATAAATTTTTAAAAATATACATAATTTAATATTTAAAGAAATAAATAAAAAATAATTATAAAAAATAATATTAAAATTGATACATTTAATAAAATATTAATTTATTTAAAGTTTTTTAATTACAAAGATTATTTGAAAACAAATTAAGGAACCATATCACGCCAAAAAATTACATTGATAATTGAGGCCACGTGGCATTTGCCACGTTTCCGGATTTTTCTTCGTTGGGTGAAAGAATAAAAACAAGTAACACGAGGATCAGTTTGACTGCTGGGGAAATTCCCGCCGTCACGATTGATCGCGGCGGTGCTTTTCTGGCGCGGACAAGAGATCATAATTGAGGCCACGTGGCATTTGCCGACCTACGTAGTGAGGGTAGGCAGTTGGCAGCAGAGACAGAATAGATTACATTCACCTGACTGAGAGAGAGAGAGGAGCTATGCATTGACTGGATCGCGGTTTACACTATACTCTACTTGGCAAAAAGCATATGGGACCAAAAAAAAAAAAAAAAGCGGACAATTGATTAGAGAAAATTAAAAAGAAAAGAAAAAATTGTTTAGAAAACTCGACATTTTGCTTTTGAGGACTTTGGGACGGACATGTTCCAAACGAAGATCCTTTATTGTCAATAATTGCTGACAAAAGGGCCTTTACCCACGAATATTTTTATTTCCTGCCTTTTGTTAATTCCAAAGGCTAATATTAATGTAATTAGACAGAAATTAATTTTCATTTTTCGTGTTTATTTTTTCATAAGTTGCTTATATTTGGTTGTCGTTTAAATTTTTATGTTGTTGTGTTTTAAATAATTTTAGAATTAAAATTTAAACTTGGATAAAATATTCATTTAGTAATATATTAATATAAATAATATGTTAAAATATTAAGTTTTATTACTATAAATATTTTTCTACAGCTAATAAGGTTGTTATTGTGTATATGAAATTATTAATTTTCTCCTCCTTCCTATTTTCTCTTGTTGAGCCAAGAGAAGATCACATCCCTCTATATTCATCTTCTTTCCATTTTCTCTCATCAGCCAAGCAAAGCAAGCTGGGGACATCTCGCACGATATACAGTCAGCCGCCTTACTCGCACCGCGCGGAACGTGCGGAACGTGCAGGCGCTTGATTTCCTTTCATTGTCATTCCCACCCACCAAACACAACGTTGCTTTGTCGTGAAAAAGCGATAATTCAACAAAAGCGATCTTCCGCACATTGTGGGTAGTTAGTGGCCTGATGTAGCAATTCTTAGAATTATTGGTATTCACTTTTAACATTACTCGTGTTTCCAACTTGCTCCGTATAAGAGCACGTTTGATTTCTGTTCTTATTTTTTATTTTTAAAAAATATTTTATAATATAATTTTTAGAATTGTTTTCAAAATAAAATGAAATGAAAATTCATTTGATTATATTAATTTTGAAACAGTTTTAAAATAAAAAATATATTAATAGTGATAATTATATATAGTTAATGATGATAATTTGTAATAACAATTGATCATCATAATTATAATTTTTAATAATCAAATGTAGTTTATTTTAAAAATAAAAAATAAAACAAAAATATTTTAAAATTGTTTTTATTTTTTTTTGTTTTTAAAAAATAAAAAAATGAAAACAGTTTTACAAACAAGTAAATAAAAAACACTTAATCAAACGAGTTTTAAATTTTTTTGTTTTCAAAAACAAAAAACAGTTTTTGAAAATAAAAAACAAACAGCTCTAAGATTTTGACATGTGTTTCCAGCCAGCTTTGAGTTCCGAATGCAAGATTTTGACATTGCTTGTGTTTTTATATCAGCTTATGCTTATGGCAGGGCTAGAAT